TGTAAGACCATTCAGAATAAATACAGGGTCTTTCATAATGAATGCTACTTTTGAAAGAGCTATTTCTCAGGACATATATGTTCCTCATGTAATATGTACCATCACATGAAACAGAAACACATTAGCGTTTTTGCACACACAACTTTCATTTTAATGCTCCTCAGGAATTTTCCACTGTATCGCCCTTAATTAAGGCACACGTTTCGGCCCTCTGACGAAGGTGTCGACCCCGCGCCTCACAACGTCTGGGTCCAGGCTTCCAGTAAACCTCTCCACTGTGGTTCGCAGTGGATGGCTGCAGGAGGGTTTTGTCTCAGATCTGCCAATGCGACTCCCCAAAGCCAGTAGTCCAGCGGGGAGAGGTCAGGACTCCGTGGTGGCCATGGTCGCTCGGTGAGGCGGCTGATAACGCGCTCTTCGAAATTCTCGATCAGCCACTGGCGCAACAGCTGCCATGGTGTGCACTGTGGCACCATCCTGCTGGAACCACAGGCCGTCTCTTTGAACCTTGTCCCTGACCTGAGGCAGAGGCATTCCTTGAGCAGCCTGAGGTAAGCCACCCCGTTCAGTGTTGACCCAGGGGAGAGCCAATGGATGAAGACTTGTCCGTCGACCGTAATCCGTAATGCGTTTTAGTGGTGTCGACATACTCTGCTTTTCCGTGAAGGAAAATTGGCGTTGTGAATTTTTTTAGTTTTTGGGACAAAACCCTAATCAATTTGCAACAATACGCATATAAAATTCACGGGGAAGTGATAAATTAAGAGCTCCTAACTAAATGTTCAAAAGTAACATTCATTATGAAAGACCATGTAGGTATAAAATAAATAACATATGTTTTTTTAATCACATGATTTCATTTTGTATCCTGTCAAGAACTTCAGTTTATCGTCTCGTATGACAATGGAAATGTCCGCTAGCAATGGGTATACAGGCTTCGCCCTAAACTTATTTGCAACACACATGAGCCAGTAAGCCATTTGGTTTCGAAAGGCTTGTTGAGCCGATTTTGTTAATGAATAGGTATATTCAGGTGCACACGCAATTCCAAAGCATTAATATCTTGAATGATGCAAATATCAAATGGGTACGACTTATTAAATCCGACTTGAAAAGCACTTTTCTCAGCCAGCGGTTGTAATTTTGGTACATGTTTGCGTTTGTCTTTTCGAATGCACGTGTAACCAGTGATAGTGTCTGCCTAAGAAACACAAGCTGCAGTGACGAATTTGACTAAGTGCCATTTCTTATTTGTCTACCACATAGAGAATAGCCTGAACAGCATTCCCGGGTGCACTAGGAAACCATTTTAATATTAACACCTCGTTAGGAAGGAGAGAATTGAAGCTCTAAGCAGAGTGGTGCGGGCTTTTAGAGAGCATAAAGCATAATATGAAAGCAAACGTCCTACAGTCTCGTCTACTTGGGACAACTTATGATGACTATCGACCAAACACGCATGTATAACGGCTGCGTTTCTGGGAATGCTGACAATCTAAGTCATTTTCCCTGAATGTAGAATGACTTGTTACAAGATATTACATTAATTATAAAAACACTCAGTCACTCACTTGGATGCTACATACGACTGAACGCCACCAAAATTTTAACACACATATTATTTGACGCCCGATGCGGTTGTGAATTCATTGCAACTTTATCAACATATCGTTGCGTAATTAGTTTTGCCCAAAGTCTCACCACGGATCTTTACTTCACATACCGGGAGTCGCTCTCTGAGGGTCTGTGGTTCAATTGACTCGTTTTCTATATGTTCATATGTGTATTATTTATATGTCTTCATATACCTGCCCCATAGACCCCTTCTATGCCTGCCCTCATCTAACCCCATTGTATGACCGTGTGTTGCACTGACCCGTGACCCTCTGCGGCCCTAAGCTGACTCCCGGTGAATGACTGGTTATATAACTGACCCGTGACCCCACACTGCCCTCAACTGATCCCCGCCCCCCGGCATGTATGACCGTGGGTTATATGACTGATCCGTGACCCCGTGCCGTCCTCAGATGACCCCCGGTGTACATACTTACATAGGTACGGCCGTGGGACATGACCTGACCTGTGACCTGCAGTGGTGGGCACTCGTAACTTGACCGGGACTTTGATAACGATAATTCGATAACCTCTTTCGAGGTCAGCGACTTCGATAACGATAACTCGATAACCCAATCGGTCACTTCGATAACGCAATAACGATAACTTAAAAAAAAGCAAAAGGATAAAATATTTGTAAGGAATAAGCTTGTAAGTAATATTTAACCCAGTCACTCATACAACACATGCATTATTACCCAGCTGGTTACACAAGAAGGAGGGCTTATAACAGTGAAAATGTTATTTTCCTCGTACAAACAAACAAACGAACGTACAAACAAAACTTGAATGTCGTTGCTGACAGAGCTTGTTGGGCCGAAAGACATTCCAAATAGCATTTTTCAGTGCTCAATTTACAAAACTGCCATCTCAGTTTACCTCTAACCCCAAAATGAAGGTGAACTATTCCCTTTAACCCTATTCCTGGCGGGCTCCGCCGGGACAAGAAACTGGCGGGGGGGGGGGGCGATTCGGCCCCCCTTCAGATCTCAAAAACTACACATCGCAGCGACAAACGGCAAACGGCGTGTGATAGGTCGTTTAAAGATCTACAACTTTTACATAAAACATTTTCAGGTCAGGTCAATATTGAGGTCACCAGAGGTCATCAACGATAAAATGTTTTGGAATTAGTTACCTATATAACTTTTAAACTAAGAAACATAGAGACATAAAACCAATACATTTTTTGTTGCTCTCGCCGAGGCGATGCGAAATAAGTATGTGATGACCTTCACAGGTCAATTTGAAATTTGACCTGAGGTCAAGGTCAGTTCATTCATCAATGAGGTTGTGGGGTATGGTCATGCTGCATACCAAACGACGCGGCTTGACCAGGCGAGCAGTTTGGTACCACTTACAAGTCTTTAGCACCATCATGTCGTGATTTATTGACAGAAAAACGATTTATGACGTCACATGACCTCAGATGACCTTTGCTGGTGCCCCTGTCAATTAGCGGCACCAGGATCATCACCGATGAGATAATCTTCCATAATACTGAAAGAATTGGGTGGTTTTGACTCGTTTACACGAAGCAGGAGGCGTTTCAATATTTTCCCATGATAGGCTTGCAATGTAAAGGTCACGAGTCTGGCCTGACCTCAGGTCACAGATATGAAAATTCTGAGATATAAAAATTGCACATACTGGTACCCTAACTAAAACCTGAAAGAGAAGAAATTGATCGGTCAACAACTCTAGCTCTGGCGTGATTGCAAACTTTTCTGAGGTGGGGTCACCAAACCGCCTCTGGTGACTTGACCTGACCTGACCCGGCAACTTTTTTGTCAAAATGTGCGCAATGAATGTTAAGAAAAAGTCACCGAGTATGAACTTTCAGGTTTGCGGCGTTTGGCAATGGCACAAGAAAAACCTGAAGGGGGGCCTTAAAGGCCCCCCGCCAGGAATAGGGTTAACCCGCGCCCCGTTGGGCTCTGCCGAGCAACGCGCCCGGTTGGGGGGGGGGGCCATTTTGGCCCCCCCTAAGATCTCGAGAACCACGCAACATAGCGACAAGCGGTAAACGGCGTTGGATAGCCCCAACGGGGAACTACCTTGTGACCCAATTTTATTGACCTAGGTCAAACCGATGACGTCACAGGTCAGGTCAAAGGTCCAGTTTTCACCGTTTACAGGCACTTCAAGAAATGCGTTGTAAAATCGAGTAAAATGCATTTCATTGAAAATCATCGATGGGGAAATGTTCTTCAAACACATATTTTGCTATTTGAGGTCACTGATACCAGGTCAGGTCACAGAGGTCAGGTCACGGGGGGGTCACAATATGAAAGTGTCGTGTGATACATGTTTTATGGTCCATTTTACATGACAAATGCGATTATATGGGTCAGGCAGCCTTTGGGGCCAGCTTAGATCACGTTTTGGTCAAGGTCAGGTCAAGGTCAGGTCAAGGTCAGGTCAAGGTCAGGTCAAATTAGGTCAAATTTCAAAGTTAATATTTTTGCATAAAATGGGTATCGAATCGATGCAGCTCGTCACGGGGAGTTCAATGGTGGTCTTTGTTTTGCCGTACGTGGTCTAGAATTGCTAAAAATTGAGTTCAAAAATTTGACGTCATCATTTTTGAACAGTTTTTTTCGCTATAACTTGGCCAAAAAACGAGATATCGATCTGAAATTTGGTATGTATATAGAAGAGCGCTGGGACTATCACATATATTCCGGTTTTTTCGAAATTCGGAAAATTTTTGGATTTTTTCAAAGTTTTTCTAAAAAAATCAATTTTTTGATTTTTTTTGTCAAAAACCAAAAATTTTGAAAATCCGAGATAGCAGTTATGTAGCGCCGCTTTTTGTCTACTAGACCATATAAAGAACTTTGAAATTGCTTGATAAGTGTAGATTTGGTGAGCGTTTCAAGATTGCATGTTTTTTGCTCATTTTTGCTCGAACATGACCTCAGTTTGACCTCAATAACTCCTGACCTAAGGTGACCTAAGACTTGAAATTTGGTGTGAAGGTGTCAAATTGATGTCCGGGAAGGTACTGAAAATTTGGCGGCGCTGCGCGCCGCCGTTTTCTTGCTATTCAGGAAAAACCACAGGGGGGGCCAAAATGGCCCCCCCCCAACGGGGCGAGGGTTAACACGCTCGCGTCTATTTGATGAAGTTATCGTTATCAATTAACCGAAACGGGGACTTCGATAACGCTACTTCATAACGATAATCAATAACGATAAACTTGAAAAACGTTATCGTCGAAAACGACTTCGATAATCGTTATCGATGGGATTTATCGAAGTGCCCACCACTGCCCGTGACCCCATACTGCCCTCAGCTGACCCCCGCGGTGTATGGCCGCGCAGCTGACCCTCGTTGTATTACCGTGGGTTATGACCTGACCCGTGACCCCAAACTGTCCTCAGCTGACCCCCGGTGTATGGCCGTGGGCGCAGCTGCACTGCGACTGCTCCTTGGCCGAGTGAAACGTCTCCTCCGCGCCGGTCGGCTCCGCCTACGTCACAAGGTGAGAAATAGACCACTGATGTCATAAGGTGAAAAAGACCACTGACGTCACAAGGTGATAGTTAAAATGACCATCCCAGCTTAACATTAGTTTTGAGTTGAGATAGCCAAAATGGGGTCCCTGGCTTGCACTTACCGGTTTGAGCACTCACAAGATCGAGAAATACCTCAAATAGAAAATGTCTAATTTCAAAGTTGTCATACTCTGAGACCGTTTAATTTCACATTGGATACCTACGTGAAGTGGTGGCACAAAAATCAAAACCATTGGTCCACGGTCTAATTAGCACGCGAACTGACAGAAGCCTCAGCCTGAGCCTACTTTGATCGGACGTCGATATCTGCCCCCGGGAAACTAACATGGAGGAGAAATAGCGTTTGAAGCTCGCATGAGTCAGTCGAAACTCGAAAGTAAGTTCTCTTTTTTTCTCGCTTAGGTAAGTTGACTTGATCAAAGCCAGGTCAGCGGTCAGCACAGCCGACCATTACCCGCCACCGAGTCAAGTTGCCATGGAAACGAGCTCTGAAACTCTACATCGTAAATGTCAGCGTTTGCTAGTTTAACGATGCCGTGTCAGCTATTTTTTCGCTTAATTTTGCAGTGGCATTATGTTGCCACGTACCGCCCAGTGTGGTCCGTTTCACCGGTGCATTGTTCTTTTTCCAAGGCTCTACAACAAAGAACCTTTTACACAATGTTTCGGTGGAACAGGGGTGTTCTGTGGGGGCAGCACGTCTAGCCACTTGAACGGTCACTTCAAAGAGTGTGTAGGTACTGTACTTAAGTAGGAGTTGCCCTCAGTCCTCACCATCAGGTTTCTGGTGGGACTGACTGCCAGTCAGGTCAAGGTAGTGTGAGCAATGCTGAGGATTGGGAAAGGCAAATACGACTCCGATATAAGCATTGAGAAGAGAGCTGAGAGCGTTCTAGCGTCCGCCAGGCACTAGAAGCTCCACGTACTGAGCTACGAGACGAATGCTGATGCCGTGCTTATGGCTTGATGCCGTGCTAGATAATAAAACTAAAACAAACTTTCAGCTAGTTTCCAAAGCTTGTCATCAGGACCTCCCCCACCCAACTGTGCCGCCACCTACATAGCTGAGCAGCTCCACCGGGACCTGCAGCGCCACCTTGGGTTAGAAGCCGGCACCAACGAAACCACAGATTGCCACCGTAGGGCGCGGCCGTCTGTGTTCCGAGCTCTTCGGCTCAGATGGGGGTAGGACATAGGACTGTGGAATCGACGCTTTTCGATTATGTATACTCTGATTGTGACTCCGGCCTTATAAAGACAACTCCGCTTCGGTCTTTCACCCCGACTCCGAGCATTCTACCCAACCAGCTCCACAAAAATCTCACTTCAGGAAGGTCCTCCAGGTCTATTACCTATAGTTGTCTTTAGATGCAGGTCATACACCTAACCTGGAAGGTCATTAAATGGAAGGACCTAAAAGCTAGATACAATTGGCTTTGTCTCCGGTCATGCGCATCTCTCTCGTTTTCTTTTTCGTGAAGCTTTAGCTTGATTGGGGTCGAACTGCCCGGGGAGGTCAATTAAACTCCCCGCTATACGCTAGTCACCCACTGCGAAAAGGCCAGGGAGCGAATTTTAGCATGGTTAGATAAGCACTCGCGGCTGACAGAGCGATTCTTTGCATAATTAACTAGCATTGCTCCATGGCCAAAGTTTGCTGCACATTGGTCGTCTCTCATGGTAATGTTTGTGGTCTTATTGGCTTATTTATTACATCAACACCGGTACCGATTCGAACAGCATAGGCCATAGGGTTATTTGAATATAAGGACATGAGGCACAATACGTTGACAAAATCAAATTCCAACTTGGCATATTTGCATTTTGCTATAGCTATAATAGTATAGCTTGTTTTTACTTTATAATGCTATTCGATCGGTCATTTAACTTGAAGCCAATTTTTTTTAGTAAAACAACGTTCGACGCTAGTATGGCATAGAACATTAGCACTCCATGTGGCAAGAGTTTAATGGCTTTCTGGAGTTGGCGCCTGCCGGCCCGACTGAGGTCAATGACCGCTCTGAACAGGCACCTGTCGGGCACTGCTTTGGCGCTGTTATAATCGTTTTACCCTCATTTGGTGTGTTTTATTTGAAGCAAGCCTTTCAGTCCGAAAAGAAAATACCATTGTAGAGCTATATGGGATGGTAGGGTAGGGTGAAGGCACTGGACTGAGCGGACCACCGGCGGTGCATGGCAGCGGCACGGTTCCATGGTGAGACGCGAATGCCTCATTGGGATAGTTTTGTCCCGTCTATGACTACTTCTATGGCAGGATTGTGGGTTTGTGCTTGCTCTTTCAGGCTCGTCCTTATCAGAGTGAGTGGTGTATGTGGGTGTGCACTGTGCAGTGAGGATGTGCGATGGAACGCACCCGGCGCAGTCAGCGGCCGGCCGGTCATCGATGCCGCCGACTGCGCGACTCGGCCCGGCTCGGTGCTGACCGAGGGTGTCGCTGGCGACAGGGCTCAATAGGCGACGGCGCCGCGCCGGTCAGTGGTGATCGGCCCGCGGGCCGGGCAGCCGGCGCGCCTCCGTCCGTCAGAGACTCACCGGACCACGTGCGGGTCACGTGCACCGCACAGCATATATATACACAGCACACACCACCGTAACGACACACTGTAACACTCACTTGGTCATACACTCACGCAAACAGCCTTTTGCCAATCACCACCATCTCACCACAGTATTCAAAAGCACACATCTCCACCGTTTCTATGACGGTGAGCGGGGTGAGACGGTGCGACAGTTAAGTGTTGAACCGGTCTGCGCAGCTCGTGACCTAACGTAAGGCGAACCAGTGGTGGGAACCTCTTTTCGGTTTCCGTGTGTATGTGCTGCCATTGGAAAGACCATGAAGAAGTTCGCGCGTCTATGGCGAGAGAGGACTCGAGACGACTCTTGGGGGTCTGTCGAGGAACCTGCACGATCTCGTGGACACCGACTGAGCGGTGGTTCGCAGGGTGCTCAGATCAGCGAGGCGAGTGACCATAGCGCCGCCACGAGTCGACGGGGCAGTGGGAGAGTTCCTGATCAGCAGCAACAACAATATCAGCAGCAGTGGCAGCAGCAGCAACAGCAGCAGTACCAGCAACAGCAGCAGCAACAGCAGCAACAACAACAGCAACAGCTTCGTCAGCAGTGGGAACAGCAGCAGCAGCAAAGACGTCGATTATCACAGACAGAGGAAGCCGGCCATGCCTCGCGTCTCTTGTCCCTCAGCTGGAGCAAGAGAGCGCGAAGGGGCGGCCCGGCAGCACAGCAGTCGACCAGCTCGGCTAGCTCGCCCGGCGAGCGGAGCCGCAGTGACGACTGGCCAGTGGGGTCGGACAGACGTCGAACGGCCGGTCCGGGAGGAGACAGGATGGGGAGGCAGGGAGATGGTGGGCAGGGTGTGCGGTTAGGAAACCAGCGCGGCGCGCACAGCCGCCGTGCTGGAGACTGGAGTGGACAGGATCTGCTGCTGGAGGAAGAGTGGAGCGGGCAGGGCACTGGGGAGCAGACCTGGAGCGGACGGGGGAAGCGAGGCGGTGCCTCACCCGATCCCCGCCTGTATCACCCGGCCGGCGTGGCGGAAGGTCCTCGATACGGGACCAGCACCGACTCATCCGCTGACTACAGCGGCCATCGAGAGACGGGCGGCAGATCAGACTACATGAGAGCGTTCAGGAGCCAGGAGGCGCTGCACAGAGTCTCCGAGGGTAGCGCTGATGGCGGTGATCCGGGCAAGGGGAGCTGGCGGCAGCAGCCGATACGAGGGACCAGGAGTCAGGAGCAGCTGACGACAAGCCGCTCGGACCGCCCGCCCTCCGGTCAGTCCAGTCTGGGCAGGAGCAGAGCTCCCGTATACGACCCCGGTGGACTGGAGGAACCGCTCACTCCTCAGGGACCAAGTTTTGCAGAGGCGGCGCAGAGAGGGTACTATGTGAACCAGGCGATTAAGAGCTTCGCCAGCAAACGGCACGAAACTCAGAATGTAGCCACTAGATCCGACTCTAGCCAATATAGTAGCCACCAGCTTTCGCATTCTCAAGCTCACCCTACGACGACTCAATCAGACATGCTGTCAGCAAGAAGTCTGGAGTCCGTGCATAGAAGTCACGTCTCTTGGAGCCCTGCTGTCAATGTGGCGGCCTTCCATGCTGCCACCTCGACAGTCACCCGTACTGTCACCTCAACCAGTGCGCGAGGAGGTGACACTGCTGGCTTGACTCACGGACAGACAGCTGTGCAGCCACAGGAGAGTGGCCATCTCTCTCGTCACCGTCTGTCTGACGACCGGTCCATAGCTGTCACATCCTCCAGCACCTCCACCAGCAACACGAACAAAGACGGAGAGCTGACTGAGTGGAGCACTGTCGCTACCCCGAGAGAGGCACAGGGAGCTTCTGGTGGGTCCTGGGTCGCTCAGCTGAACAAGTCACCAGACAGAAGACCATCAGTGGCTCGTCAGTACGTCAGTTCCGGTAGAGAGAGTCTTGCTGATGAGCAAAGACAAAGTAAAACCCCATCTCCTCGTGGGAGCTATCCTTCAGGGCGTGCGACCTTCAACTTGACACCGAGAAACATTGGATCCAGTCCGGACGGGTCGGCTGCAGAGAGCGTCAACTCACAGAGAAAACATTCCTCGGAGTTTGATAGTCGAAACGCCAACCAGAAGACAGACAGCGTCAACATCAGGATGTTGCCTGAAGCCCGAAGCGCTGCTCAGCAGTCACATAGAGCTCGCAGTGCCACTCACCAGCTGTTTGAAGCCCGCAGCTCAAGTCAGGAGCTTTCTGAAGCTCGCAGTGGCTCGTCCAGACGCCGAGAGAACGTGCTGCAACTGCTGGGTAGCTCTGTGGACGAGCCCGAACTGTGGCCAGAAAATAAACAGTCTCTCGCGGACGCACCCTCCTCTACCGGATCACCGGGCAATCCTTCGATGGCGGAGACGGGGGCGAGGACGGCAGTGTCGAGATCTGATCAGGCCGGACGCATCAGTCCGGAGCCGAAGCAGGCAGCGCCGCCGATCTCAGCGGTAATAGAGAAGAGACGATCCTCATCCAGTCCTGAGGAGAGGAACGAGCCTCGATCGCGGCTAACTCCACCACCGCCCTACAGACGAAAGGATTCCGTGGGTGGACGGACTACACCAACGACTCCTCCTCCGCCTCCACCGCCTCCGCCACCACAACCGCCACCGCTGCCGCCAAAGATACCGGCACCACCAGCACAGGCATCACCACCGACACAACCACCAACGACACAGCCACCGCAGCCACCGCCGCAGCCGCCTCCCCTGCGGCTTCCGCCGCCTCCCCCATACAGTGCCGTGCCACCGAGAGTGGTCGGCTCAGTTCGGCAGAAAGTTGCTCAGTTGAACTCGGCTCGAGAGGGAGTGCTGTTGTCTCAGCAACCAGCTAAGGTCACACCAGCAAATTTAACCAAGGTGAGTGGATAAACGATGGGTATGTTTCAGGTATCCAGTGTAGACAACCGTCAAAACATTGCAAAAATCTTTTATGACGACTGGTTTAGACGAAAAAGAGACCTAGACTTATCAAACACGGTCATAGTGGCATAGTATGCAAAATGACTCACTAGATGGCAGCACTGGTATACGCCTGAAGTGGTAGACTGTGCCGGAAGGCTCGCCATCGAGTATAGCGAGTATACGTTTCCTTGCATTTATTTGATTCCTTGTCTCATTGATATGTGCCTCGTCGCCACATTTAGCAGCTTCTTCTTTCAGTGTCTTTTGTTTAAAGGGACCCTCCCACCTTCAGAAAAGTTTATGAATTGGCATGAAAGTGATGTCGCTCGGTTCAGAAAGAGCGAAAACGAATATCTACCAAATTTCACCGAAAAATATTCACCGGTTTTCAAGATATTATACATTTACTTTTGTTTACTTTTTTGGGATCTCCGCTGTTTCTAGCGACTTTATTTTAGAAGTGCGGCGTTTGCGGCAGATGTTGCGCGCAAATAGCATATACCACCGCGTGCTACAAAACGTTTTAGTCAAACATTTAAAAATCGTTAGATATTTGCGCTGACGTCACACATTCAGAGGGGTATTCCTAAGCATTAGCCCCTCTGAATCAAAATGCTGCAATTTTGAAATTAAATATTTCCGATTTAAGGCATTTCTCGATGTTGTGAGTGCCGAAACCGGTAATTGTGAGCCAGGGACCCCATTTTGGCTATCTCAACTCAAATCTAATGTTAAGGTGGGAGGGTCCCTTTAATTGGTACGCTACCCCAGATAAGTCAATCGGCCTCCATGCACTGCCCGTCACTGTTGGCGAGGAGGAGCGTTTTCCGCTGCTGTGAGTTACGACCCGAATCCATTTGGTCGCCAGTTTCGGCGCCCCGCTGTCCGCCCATTTGGCCGATTGAGTCGGCTGATGACCCAGCCCTCGTCCAAAGAGCGCCGTGTCGTGTCCGATTGGCATTTAATGAGGCCAATTTTCCGCATCCCATCATTGATTCTGCTGCGGCCGGCACACAAAGGAACGAGAGGCACTGGCCACTTTCATGGGCCTAGACCACCGCCCCAGATTGCTAGATGTTATCACATGAAGCGATGCTAACTTGGATTTATATCTGCGAGTGGAATAGCTCTGGTTATGATGAAACTCTCCACTAACACGCCAAACCCATCCGATAACAGGTATCACACTGGGTCAAAATTAGCGTGGTCCTTCTACAAAAACCGCAGAAACAGACTTAGGTATGTAAATGGAGGAAAATAGCAAGTTTTGCACAGGTCAGGTAACATGGCTGTTTTATCATTACTACACCTTTTTGCGTTAGCTTTTGACCATTGGGCAAAACATTTGTACACATTCGCCATATAGGTGGCGCTACAAATGGGCGGTTGGTCACAAAGAATCACCATTGTGCAAAACTATTCGGCGGTCTTCCTCTAAATTCGACATTGAACGAATGGTTCAACATTGTGCAAAACAGATCGTCAATGGTCGAAACTATTCGTCATATGCCGTGCTGGCTCGCTCAACGCCGAAGTCTGGCGAAGTGTCAAAATGTTTTGCAGATCGCTCATTTCAGTGTTCAATCTGTTTTGCTGAGTGGCTTAAATGAAACACACCACGCCGGAATAGTTGTGCTCAATGCTGATTGTCGAAACATCTCCTCAAACAGTTTTGGCGAATGGTTGAATTCAAATTCAAAAAGGTGTAGTTTATCGCGATACTCCGTATACAACGTTAATATACAGTTAACAATAACATCTTGCACACTTACAGTGTCGAGAAAAAAAACATCATTTACATGTTATGTGCTATTTGTCACCTGTGATTGCCATACCTAACCATAAGTATGCTCAGGAGTCCTTGCTGTCTGTTGGGTGTTGGCTTGCGTTTCCTGCTTGTGTCGCGTTGCGTGATTTTGTCAATTGTCACACTGTGTGTGGCTCGTTTGGAACTTGTGGACCGTTAGCATTCCCTGGAGATGACCATTTTAACACCGGAGCCGTCAACAGGTCGAATGGCTTTGTAATGGCGTCGGCTGCGACCTGACAGCGTTTAGGGCTCTCAGGGGAGACGGGGCGCTAACTGGATAATGGACACACACCTCGAGTCCTCGACCCTGTTAACACAGTTGATCACAACACCACGCGATAAGTAATTGCCGACGAGTGGCCAGTGGGTATTTAGCAATGTGGTTATTAAATTATTTTGGTTCAATATATGGCGATTGCAAGTGATTGTATGTCAATCATGGGCTGCACATTTTAGCTCATGCTTTCTGGTTCTGGTTTTGTTATTATTGTTGTTCTGATTCCATAAAATATTGAATGAATATGAAACGGCAATGATGCGCCGAGTATGCTTTTGATTTTAATCTGTTCCGTTACTGAGAAGAACAAGTAGGTATCATAGTCCGCTAAAAAGATAAAAAGCATAATCCAAGGAAAAATGATTTTAGCCGATGCATGCATGCGTTCGACACACCTATCCCGGTGCACTTTTTATGATTCATGCATATTTTGGGAAAACTAAAATATTTTCGGCCAATGATCATGCCTGAAGACCTCGGTAGTAGGTATAGGCACACCGGGTCAGAAATTCAGGACAAAGGTCCGCAAAACAGTAGCGGTGTGCATGGGCCTGGATGGACGTTAATTGCTAAACAATATTGAACATGAAACTTGATTAGATGGGCTAATGATGGCTGAGAAATAATGAATCATGAATCAATCAACAGCGGCACAAACAAACCGTCACTTGTGTGCTACGACGTGGTTGATAGATGATGCGGTCAACAATGTGGCGACTGGCGATAACCAAGAACCTTTATGACCTTATAGAAGCTCGTGGTGTCGCCTTGCCCCGGCTCTGGCCCTGACGTCGGAGGTGGGGAGGGGGGGGAGGTGGGAGGGAGGGGCGGGCCACAAAAGTTGCGTGACGCATCAGGCGGCGTTCATGGAGGTCGTACCCGGGCGCCGATGGCTCCGGTGTGACATGGTGATGGCGCCGGAACCGGAACCGCCCATCCCTCCCCACTCAGAGTTTCCCAGTCCGAGGACTAGCCCTCCCCGTCCCCTGCCCACTTAGATGCCCCCGGTCCTGCCCACCCCTCCCTTGAATAGCCTTATATGCCTATCACGTATCTGCAAAAAGGGGGAAAATAGAGTGGACCTTATGATTAATTGGCTCATTAGTCGGAGCCAGTTTTAATTCCAATATACGTCTCTTCATTGCAGCGTAGCGCGCAGAGCTTGGAGCGAGGCACCACTGAGCTGGTGATCCGAGCTGGTACCGCTGAGAGGAGCCTGTTCTCTGTTTCCGAGCCGCCCGACCGCGGCGGCCTGGTGACCTCAGGTCAGGTCAGCTCCGATCGCCCATCGGGGGTCAGCAGTGCGGGTCAGGTCGACAACGACTCAAAGCGACCGGCAGCCGCCCTCACAGGTGAGATACCAGTTCAAATGATTATGATTTTATAATGTCTTATATTTTGAACGCAAAGGTTTCTTATTTTAGCGTCTTTCGTAATCTTACATCATCTTAATTTGTATTATTGTTTGCCCTTTCTATTGTGGGGAGTAAAATATGGCCTTTTGATTTTACATACATACTCTTAAGGCCGCCGTCCACTGTGCGGAACGCGTGCGGTCCGTACGGAATTTAACACAGAACCCTATGGGCGCATCCGGTCCGTAAGGAAATCGTGTGCGTTCCGTCCGGACCGCATCCGAACGGCAATCAGCTGTTGATTTTCCGTCAGCTCTCCGCATGCGTTTCGGATGCGGTTGCTACGGAGACGGAAGAGTGATGTCCGACGCGTTGAACTTTTCTGCGGAAAACGCATCCGGAACGTCCGGAACGGACGGAACAGACGTGGTTTGGGGCCGTGTCGGAGGCAAACATTGTGAATTGTACGAAGAATTGGAACTCGATCATCATGAAGTGGGTCAAAATTATTTCCTTAGAATGGCAAGAGTATTCGCTGCTGGTTACTTGCAATATTTTATTTGGTAATAAGTGATAGGAAACATTATTTTGCTCTCCGCATCCGGACCGCATCCGGACCGGATGCGGCCAGCGTGCGGCGACATTCCGGACGGACTCCGGACGGAATTCCGTCGCAGTGGACGGCGGCCTTTAAACAGTCCACTTCCTGCACGAAGATCCTCTTATTGCCTTCATGACCGTTTTCGTTAATCGTTTCTTTGGTGACGGTAATAAAGAAGAACACTATCGTAACAAAGTGATTCGGTCCATTCGCTACCAAGCTATGAAATACTTGCCCGTTTATTCGCTACTGCGTGTTGTGCAATGTGGATTCGAAACAAGATTCGAAATTAGTATCGAGACAGAGGTGGTAGCTATTAAGGATTGTTGCCATGGTAACTGGCGATCAACTGATTTTAGTCAGATGGCTAGTTGTCACCTGACGCGTCTCAATTATCACCTGACTGGTCGGGTGCGTGTGTTTGTAATGTTTGTAATGTTTGCTTAGGGCCGGCCAGGCCTGCGGGCCCCGAAGTCTCAGGACCGGGCCCGCGCACTCTTCGCGTCCCTCCCAGTTGGCCAGCAAGACCGGCAGCCGACTTTGCGGAAACACCGCTCAGCTCTGCGGGTGACGTCAATCGCTTCCCACTGCGGCTGCGTGACGTCACAACAGTCAATCAGCAACTGCAACGGACAGCGGCGGCAGCAGAGCGCAACTTGACTGATTCTTTGAACGGCAACCCAACCAACGCCATGGACGAAACGGACAGGGTCGTCCAACTTGAGGTCAGGCAAATGCTTTTTGTTTTTAATTGGAGAAGGTTGAGAGGCAGATAACGTTTTACTATGCAGTCAGAGGCCTAGCACATTTACATTTTTATATACTGATTATCTACTCATTGCATAGTGATCAAGTTGGGAAAACATTGCAAGTTAGGAAAACATGCCTACCAGTTCTCTACCTTCGTTATACCAGAGTTGTGTGAAATCTTCAATCGACGAAGAATGCTCTAACATCCCTCTTGAATTCGAAACTCTCCATAACTTTCCCATCATTCTCAGCGTCGCAATGCCGAGCTCCAGCGCGAGCTGGCGGACGTGCAGGACAAGCTGTCCAACTCTCGCGCTGAGAGGGACGACATCGGCATCAAATACAGCGCCCTCACGGACCGGGTAAGTGGATTACCAGGAACGGGAAGGGCTCAAATCAATTTTACAAACTCTAAGGACTCAAAACTCATAGCTTGTTCAAAGGTTTTGGTGAGTGCTGCACATCGAATAACTAAACATGGTTCATGCATGAGTTTCTCTGGTGTGCCTTCATCATGTCTATCTGAAAAGTCGGTCTGAAAGACGAAGAGACTGAAGCACACTAGAACTAATGAAAAATTACATTCTTTTATCGCTTTCTTCTCTCCCAAATATTACTAATTTTCCAAATCGTTTAATCAGACTAAAGTCATTTAATTCAGCCGTAGTCTTGGAAACTGAGGCCTGTCTTGGCCTGCGGTCTTCGTGGCCCCAAGTCGGCCGGTGCCCTCTCTTCCGGTGGGCACAGGGCGTATGCGGCGGGGCGCAAGTTTGGTCGATAGAGATGCTGACGCCGACCTGACTGTACCGCACTGCCAATTATATACACGCACCCACTACGTGCCGACACTACACTACATCAGACGTGGAGACAGGTGTAAAACAGCGTCTGTTTGAGGCTGCCCTGACTAGTGCAGTAAAAACAGTCAAAACCTCTTATGTACGAGTCAAAACCTCGTATGTATATTACAAACACCTTTTTCTTCGCGAGCATCTTATTTATCGTTTACGGCTATTGTAACATTGAAGGCGTATACCAGTAAATGGTCTGGTAATAAATATAATGGTTCAAGTGGTTCACGTGAATTACAACAACATGAAAGGAAGGCTCTTTTTATAATCATTTCGTCAATGAGCATCCAATAGACATAATGAATTTAATAGGGACGTATGTCCCGGCCCGATACAATATTCATTTCAATATTCAATAGGAAATTTCAACTTTCAAAATAGATATAAGTAATTTCATTATTCCTTTATAATAAACGATTGATGGATCTCTGCTCCACGACAGCTGGATCGAATGATGAAGCCCGGCGACGACAACCTGACGTACGACGCGGCACCTTCCCGGTCAGCCACCTCCGGCCGCCCGGACGCCAACCGGGCCACCGCCATTGACACGGTGAGCGACATCGAGGGGTGCTGATGCCTGGTAGGCCGTTCAGCTGCTCTTAATTATATGCATATGGTCTTTTTTGATATAGCTTTGCATAATTTGTTTAGAATATTTGACAAGCAAGTGCGACAAGGTAGGATTTGCCGCTGCATATGATTCTTATTCAACAATGCCTCGACTTTTTTTTCTAAATAGTTGTGCAGCTCTGAAGTGCTGTGCAAACCTTTTCTGTGCAACTCTTCTCGTATTTTAAAACATCACCATAATTTTGAATCAGAGTTGTGTGTGAACTGTGAACTCTGTAAGCCTTTCGAGCGCTACCCAACTCCTCTGCCCAGATTGGGCGTGGCCGGCGGCTGGAGGAGGAGAACCAGGCGTTCCGGCGCCGCCTGGAGACCTACCAGGAGTCGCAGCGCCAGCAGGCGCAGGTGGTGGCTCAGCTGCAGGACAAGGTGCAGCAGTACAAGCAGCGCTGCGCCCAGCTGGAGGACCGGATGGCCGACTCGGGCCGCCGGCTGGCCGCCGCCGATCAGCGCACCCAGGAGCGGCTACAGACCGCCGCCGACCGGGACCACGCGCTGGACCTGGAGACCGCCCTGGTCCGCCTGGAGGAGGCCGAGAACAGGTGAGTGCGGCTCTCGGAGTGTAGCGTCGAATCGCAGCCACGTAACTTGCAGTGCTGCGGCTTGCAGGCGCTTGACGGTGTTGCGGCACAGTCTATCTCACGGCGCTCGGCTGTACTGCGGCACAGTCTATCTCACGGCGCTCGGCTGTACTGCGGCACAGTCTGTCTCACGGCGCTCGGATGTATTGCGGCACAGTCTATCTCACGGCGCTCGGCTGTATTGCGCACAGTCTATCTCACGGCGCTTGGCTGTATTTCGGCTCAGTCTACCTCACGGCGCTTGGCTGTACTGCGGCACAGTCTAGCTCACGGCGCTCGGCTGTATTGCGGCACAGTCTAGCTCACGGCGCTTGGCTGTATTGCGGCACAGTCTAGCTCACGGCGCTCGGCTGTATTGCGGCACAGTCTATCTCACGGCGCTTGGCTGTATTTCGGCTCAGTCTACCTCACGGCGCTCGGCTGTAGGTACTGCGGCACAGTCTATCTCACGGCGCTTGGCTGTATTTCGGCTCAGTCTACCTCACGGCGCTCGGCTGTACTGCGGCAGTCTGCCTCACGGCGTTTATCTGTACTGCGGTACAGTTTATCCCCGGCGTTTAGCTGTATTGCGGCACAGTCTATCTCACGGCGTTTAGCTGTACATACTGCGGTACTGTTTATCTCACGGCGCTCGGCTGTACTGCGGTACCGTCTATCTCACGGCGTTTAGCTGTACTGCGGCACAGTCTATCTCACGGCGCTCGGCTGTTTTGCGACACAGTCTATCTTGCGGCGCTCGGCTGTACTGCGGCACAGTCTATCTCACGGCGCTTAGCTGTACTGCGGCACAGTCTATCTCACGGCGCTCGGCTGTACTGCGGCACAGTCTGCCCCACGGCGTTTAGCTGTACTGCGGTACTGTTTATCTCACGGCGCTCGGCTGTACTGCGGTACCGTCTATCTCACGGCGTTTAGCTGTACTGCGGCACAGTCTATCTCACGGCGCTCGGCTGTATTGCGACACAGTCTATCTTGCGGCGCTCGGCTGTACTGCGGCACAGTCTATCTCACGGCGCTTAGCTGTACTGCGGCACAGTCTATCTCACGGCGCTCGGCTGTACTGCGGCACAGTCTGCCCCACGGCGTTTAGCTGTACTGCGGTACTGTTTATCTCACGGCACTCAGCTGTACCGCGGCACAGTCTATCTCACGGCGCTCGGCTGTACTGCGCACAGTCTGCCCCACGGCGTTTAGCTGTACTGCGGTACTGCTTATCTCACGGCACTCAGCTGTACCGCGGCACAGTCTATCTCACGGCGCTCGGCTGTACTGCGGCACAGTCTGCCTCACCCCTCACCGCGTTTAGCTGTACTGCGGTACAGTTTATCTCACGGCGCTCGGTTGTACTGCGGTACAGTCTAGCTCACGGTGGTTAACTGTACTGGGGCACAGTATAACTCACAGGCGCTCGTTAGAAATGCGACATAGTCATCAGGCGCTGATGACTGTCATCTTGGACCCGCTCTCCAGTCAGCTATGAGGCGTGTAGTTTGTGGCTGATCAGATGCTCGTTTCTTCGGTCAGATGTGTGACTCTCTCGGATGTGAACGCGCTGCTGAGGGAGCAGCTGGACGCCGCCCAGGAGGCCAACGAGGCCCTAACCGGCGAGATTCAGAAGCTGACGGCCGACTGGCAGCGACTCCGTGACGAGATGGAGCACAAGGAGCTGGACTGGAAGGAGGAGGAACAGGTGAGAGACTGAGGAAGCGTTGGGTTAGGAAAGAGGAGAGAGGAAAGGGAAAGGGAGAAGGAGAGCGAGAGAGAGAGAGAGAGAGAGAGAGAGAGTCAAGGTGAGGAGAGTGTCAGACAGAAAGTGAGAATAACGACAGAGACAGTGGCAGACACAGAGACGGAGAAACAGAGAAACCACCACAAAAAGAACGACGATAAAAGGACAACCTTAAAGTAACTAGGAGATGCTGTTTCACCATAAGAATAGACGAAAGGAAGTATGCACGGGTTTGTTTGACGGTATCGCACGAAACATTTATTTAGGTTCCTGCCTTACACCATATTCGTGATGTCCTCAGCACCATCTGCACAGTCGTACACAATCTTCAGTGTTATGTAGCTGGTAGAATGACACTAATTTTGATTATAGCTTGATGTCCTACAGTCACTGCGCTAGTTTAGTGTAATGATTCTTGCATGAAATTATCTATAGCAAAAACATTGATAAAAAGTTTCATGGTTGTGTAACCTTTTGCCGTTTTTCTCTTTGCAGAAGAAACAGGTAAGGTTTTGAAAATTATAATGCGTTGTAGACACCTCCTTTCTAAACTGTAAATATTCAGTGCTTTACTTATAAATTGCATATACCATGTACCATGTTATGCCATGCCAGCAAAACGTTAGAAGTTGATTGCCTTACTAGACCAGAATGAATGTCTTGAAATGTGTTGACCCTGTAGCTCGGCTCCTTCAATGGTTTCAGACTGGACAGATCCCGGCATTACTGGCTATACCTCACTGTGAATTTCTCCTGACACTGGTAGATGGACGAAAAACTGTGGGCTCGAACCCGAATAGCACGTAGAAAATGACTCATTCATACAACAGCACAGCAAAAGTTCGAGCAGCAAGGAGCAATTCGTTTTATGGCACATGCTACATACCCTGACACTCTGTTGCCCTGCTATCCCTGCTTCTAAAATTTGAACGTGGCCATTGCATATGCTGTCAGCGTATTGCAAACTAATGTAGCTAGCCAGAATGAGATCAGATAATCGTAGTTTGAGAAATGAATTGTAAGGATGGCGACTGTGCTGCCAGCTTTTGAAAGTTACTCTTTTCTCGAGATCGATGGCTCGGATAGGTTTTTATGCCCTTGATTTTATGAGAATATCTTCAATATATCGAAGAAGATCGGTTGCATTACGAACCAGAGTTAAGAATTATGCGGCATCATTTTTCGGTCAATAAAAAGTTAAAAGCTGAGCGTTTCAGAGATCGATACAAATTTTGTTACGCGGAGTGTGATTTTTTCTTCGAAATGTTTGGTCAGACTAATTACATCATGTCACCAAATGAGCATTCACGAAATACCGGTTGTGAAAGGTCTTAACTATGGTCGTTCTTGGAGTTATACGGATATATTCTTTTAAAAGCCTGACATAAGAATTACAAAACACCAGTGATACAGTGACAATTCAGTGAGAAGACAGTAAGTATGCTCCTCTTACGACTAAGTAAGAGTATCTACCCAAATGTACATTCTCCTCCTACGCGTCGTCAATGCCGGCAGACCTTCAACGATTACTACAACGCTGAACACGCGCGCATGCTGAAACTCTGGAAGGAGATCGTCGGCTTCCGCCGCGACTTCAGTGACCTGAAGCTGGGCACCGAGCGTGACCTGAGCCGGGTCAGGTCAGAAATGGCCCGGCTGGCTCGTCAGACGGCCGACGCCTGCAGCACTGTCAATGTGACGGGCTCTGGCCCCGAGCAGACGCCGCCGGCCGCCGGCGGGGCCGCCTCGGCACCGGCCGTTCGCAAACAGGTGTCCCAGGTGAGCCAGACAGTCCAAAATAGGTGTCCTTGTTCGCCTCCTGTCCTTCCACAAACTGGTGAGCCGGATGCCTTTTCGTTATTAGGTGACGTAGCTGTAACAACTGGATGACAGAAGTTTTATAAGATTTTCTCGACGGATGAGGACTTAGTCTTTTCTCAACCTCCAACGACCTGACAATTCTTTGCGCTCTCATCTTCAAATGAATCGTCGCACTTTCCGACAGATGTCGGCCGCATTCAGCAATGCCGGCATGTGGGAAAAGATGCAGGACATTCAGAAACAGGAGACCACATTCCGAGTCAAGAAACGGGAAATGGAAACGAAAATCAAGGACCTCAGCAACCAGGTACTGAACAATGTGCGGTCGGTTTCTTGAGTTCATTGTGTTAATGTTTGCACGCTACCATATTTGCCTTTTATGATATCCCGACTCCGATGAGTGTTAACGATTGGACTTCGGTTTTCTTTTCAGCTGGACATGTCGCGCAGTGAGGTTGTGGAGAAGGAAAAGATGGTCGTCTCTCTGAACAAAATGGTCCACACTCTGGTGAGTAATCTAGCCAGTAGCCAGCTCTTATTCGTAAAAATCGCTTCCAATTAGAAAAGAGAATTGCGTCCCGTCCTGTATTCTTGTCCTCTCGTTTTCCGTGTCGCTGCACTGGTTTCCGTTACGTCACTGAATGCGACGATGACGTCGACCCCCGCAGGAGACGAGCGCTGCAGAGCTGAGTCAGAAGCTGGAGGCGTCGCGTCTGGTCTCCGAGGAGAACGACGTCCTCTCTCAGGCGATCCGCGAGGTGGCTCAGCTGGTGGTGGACGACTCGGAGCGCGGCCCCGAGACAGACGACAAGGTCACCGTGCTCGTCAAATCCACCTCGCTGGCCAGGTCAGTCCGTCGCCAGAGACTGCGGGAAAGGTGGCGACTAGTCTCTTTGTGCCCTACGTTAATTAATTGCTGATATACTGGTTATCTTGAATGATGTTCGCTTCTTATTACGACGAGCATAACGATGTCACAACACGAGAAAATGAATTAGTCACCGTTTGTGCTGCATGCTCAGGTATCAGCATAATGAAACTGATATAATCGAATTGATGCAAGGAGCCTAGCAGTAACATAAATTGAACCCTGAACTCCATTTATAAGACTGAAACATTAATCTATAAGAATAACGTTTTTGTCGCCGTCAGAATTTTGCCTTTCGGCCTCGACGCATCCTATTGCTCGTTACCATTCATTGACCTATCCACTCCTCGTATTTTTATCCTTTCCACAGAGACGTGAAAAATATTCTACAACATGCTGAAAGCAAAGCCGAAAAACTTCAGGAAACCTCTGCTCTGGCCAAAAGTTCAGATGGGATACCAACTCCTATTCCTCGCCAAGAGACGGGCCAGGTCCCGACTCAGAGGCAGGCTCCGGTCCATCCGCCCATCGCACCCCGAGGCTACATGACGGGTCTGGCCTGGCGGTCACAGCAGGGCTCGTCAGCTGCCTCAGTGGCCACTCCTGATAGTCCTGCCTGTCCCTCCACTCCACATTGTCCACCCAACCGGGGAACTGGCCCAGCTTCCGACCACACAGGGTATATGGAAGGGCTCGCCTGGCAAGCTCCTCGTGACACGGGAGCGGCATTTTCAGTAGCTACTCCTTCCAGCCCCCTCGCCCCATCCACTCCACATCATCAAGGCGCTCAAAGAACCGGACCAGTTCCAGACGATACTGGGTACATGGAAGGGCTCGCCTGGCAAGCCCCTCAGGGCACGGGAGGAGCCCTGTCGTCAGTTGACACGCCTTCTAGTCCCATCACATCCTCTACTCCAATCACCCCATCTAACCGAGGTACTGGGCAGGGCTCACTCCACAGAGGTTACATGGAAGGGCTAGCTTGGCAAGCTCCCCGTGGCACGGGAGCAGCATTTTCGGTAGCCACACCTTCAAGTCCCGTCGAACCCTCCACCCCAATTCTCCAAGACATTACGGAAACTGAACCAGCTTCGAGCGATGCTGGGTATATGGAAGGGCTTGCCTGGCGATCCCCTCAGGATACGGGAGCAGCCTTTTCCGTAAACACACCTTCAAGTCCTGTCGTTCCTTCTACCCCACTTACTCCTTCCACTCGAGGTACTGTGCAGGGTTCAAATCAAACAGGGTACATGGAAGGAATCGCCTGGCATGCTCCTCAACACACGGGAGAACCGTTTTCCGTAGCCACACCCTCAACTCCATGCACTGCCACTGGTCAGTCTCCTAGATCTGTTAATGATGTAGGATACATGGAAGGCCTAGCCTGCCGATCTCCACAAGACTCTACCTCTGTTGCATCCCTTCCAACCCCTTCCGCTTCAAATACTGCCTCCAATTTGCCCTCTCCGTCCACTAAGGGTGTAAACTCAGGTTCAAAACCGGCGGGATATATGGAGGGACTGGCCTGGCGATCCAGCCAGGGAACCGCATCATCCTTTTCTGTAGATACACCAACTGCTTCAAGCACACCGGCAACTCCACTTCCGAAAGCAGCTCAGGGTTCATCGCCAAACGAGTCAAGGTACATGGCTGGATTGGCCTGGCGGGCTCATCAAGCTTCCTCAGTAGCCACTCCTTCCAGTCCTACCGCTTCCTCAACTCCAGTGCCTTCGTCCACTCAAGGAACAGGGCGAACGTCAGACACTGCAGGGTACATGGATGGGTTAGCCTGGAGAGCCCCCGATGATGCCGGGTCTGACTTTTCCATAGCCACGCCGTCATCCCCAAGTGAACCCACTGCCTCACTCCCTAGATCGACGCAAGGTGCTCCTGTAGTACCGAACACCACAGGAGGTTATGCGACGGGAGCACGGCGATCTTCACGGGGTTCGGGGTCAGTTTCGTCCGTAGACGCTCATCAAAGTCCAATGGCCTCCACTGCACCTTCAAATGAAAAAAGTTACATGTCAGGCCTAGCCTGGCGATCACCCAAGGATTCATTCTCAACTTCTTCAATAGATACGCCTTCCAGCTCAGTCACACCCGTTACTCAACCTCGTAAATTGACTCAGGGAATCGTTGCAGCCTCAACCGATGCGGGGTATATGACGGGTTTAGCCTGGAGGTCCCCTCAGGATTCTACATCAGTCTCTTCTCTAGCCACTCCTTCACGTTCGAGTGAGCGTGCTATCCCCTTCTGTCCACACAGCCCACGTCCTTCTCCTGTGGTTGGCGCACCTGCCCCGGGCACAGAGGGTTACATGACAGGTTTGGCATGGTATGCACACTCCTCAGTGTCGGGGACAGGCTACATGGCAGGGCCAGAAATCCAAGGGTCCGACTTACACCAGGCTGCCACCGACACTACCTCTGCGCCAGCCTCCACCGCTCAGTACATGGCTGGACTAGCTTGGAGGCCACCACCAACACCTGACGCACCACCATGGGAGGTAGCCACACCGGGATCGGGCCAGGACACTCCCATGCAGTTTGACGGAACCCCCTACTCTGGTGATGTCCCTGTGGCTACTCAGCGTACAATATTCGACGCTCCGGTTGGGTCTAGCACCGCTACACCTCTATCTGGTGGAGCAACACCATGCCACGGTGCCGATACTCCAAAAACCAGCGCCGACTCTCCTGGGGTGACCGACGGCCCTCCCGGCGACTCGGACACTCCGCCCTGGGAGGTGGCCACTCCGGGGAGTGGCTCGTCTACACCTGTAGCCCCTGGAGGCTCCGTGCTCTCCGGACTGATCCTACCACCGTTCGGACTGCCGTCTCTCAATGCGCCCAGTTGGCCGACTCCGGGCTCAGAGATGGAGTCCGGTGTGGGCGCCGGGCCGGGCTCTGAACCTCAGCCGCTGTCCAGGCCGACCACAGCGCGCAGGTCGCGACCGCAGCTGGAGCCGGAGCCGGAGAAGGAGCCGGAGCCGGAGCCGGAGCCTGAGCCTGATCCTGATCCTGATCCTGAGCCATCAGGGACTGTTGAGAACCCGGAGGAGAGGTGAGGTGAAATATTTTCTTGTTTAGACGCGGGATTTTGACCATAAAATATCTAGAAATAGGTTATAGCCAGGGTAAAGTAGTTTGGTTTCCAACAGCTGCTCTGCGTTGTAAAAGCAGAGTGCCCAATTTTTACCCTATGTCATCTGTAGGTACTCTCTCAGCCAAACAATAACCTCGTTAACAGTATCTCGCACCATCTTTCCTTCGGGTCTGTTATTTATGTCCTTGCTCCTTCCTCATGATCCGTCCTTTCCCGTTTCACCCTTCTAGCGCATCTCTGTGTCCAACCACCGAGGAAACGTCACCCGATGCCGAGCAAGGCATGGAGGTGGCCAAAGCACCTCCTCCCAAGGGAAAAGGCGGCTGCTGCTCGCTGTCATGACCCGGTGACCAGTCGCTCTGTTAGAGAAGAGGGATGGATGCTGGAGACACTGAATGGCGGTGTCCGGCGGTGGCCGTGTTGTGGTTCTGGAGCCTTGAATGAGGGCACTGGTGAAACTGCTCCTTTGGATGGCAGTTGTAACGCACATTCGATCTAAGTCGTGAATTCCCACCATAATCGAGATGACACTTGATACGACAAATGAGAACCGAACGAAATGGGGTGCCGTCAGCCGCACCCATTTGTAAAGCTGTAATTGGATCTTAGCTAACCGGATATTGGCGTAATTGGTCGCTTGTATTTCATTTGTTCCCGGTATTTCCTTTCCTCATCGGACATTTTCTCGAAATCATACAAAACGCATGCCTTGCATTGTTCTTCCCAAACAAGTAACGGAGAGTATATTCCCGTTTAATGTGCGCATCTGTTGAAAGCTGAACTTTTATTGTTTTATATGTTTATGAAAGGCTAAATATATGCCAGCAATGTCCGTCTATTTTTATTTTTATTGAAATTGTCAGCCGATGGATGATGGGCTGTGCCACAGCCCATGCTGGCCTCAAGTGGTAAGTCTCGGGCATTTAGGTATGCAAGTGATTCAATCACTTAAAATTAGACAAACGTTCAATAGACAAACTTCGTCGATATGTCTCAGATTGGCCTCTTTCTGTATCTGCCTGTTTCTGTTTCTGCTCTTGTCTATCACCTCTCTCTCTCTCTCTCTCTCTCTCTCTCTCTCTCTCTCTCTCTCTCTCTCTCTCTCTCTCTCTCTCTCTCTCTCTCTCTCTCCCTCCCCTACTAACTGCATTTGACTCTTACCCCTTCCTCGTCTCTATATCGCAGGCCTCTGTCGCGTGCTCCGCGCTCTGCATCGCCGCCTCCCGCGGCTACTCTTTCCGAAGGCACGCTGACCGCCGTCCAGGCTGCGCTCAATAAACGACAGCTACAGCTCCATGACCTACAGGTCAGTCGACGGACGTCTCGGACGGTTCAGTCAGATTAAAAGCAGCATCGCGGTTTTATGATGTATGTCCCTGTGCTCATAATAAAAAACTTCGCTTGACTCAATTAAGGACGACGTAAGATTCTAGCTCAATCGAACGTCACAAGTTGAATGATAGTTAGATACCTACAGAACGTAGGTTTCTTCCAAAGTGTTATGCTAAGACGATTGGATATGCTGCAGCGACATGACGGCTCGGCTCGGGCGTCTACCGTGATTCCTGATGTCCTCCCTCAGGTGAAGCTGACTGGTACCGAGGAGCAGCTGGCGGCGCTGCGCCGGCGTGCTGAGGAGGCCGAGAACCGCCAGCAGCTGCTGGAGACCCAGCTGCAGGAGACGCGGGACGCCCAGCTGGGTACAGAGCGAGAGCGAGATGACGCCCGACGCGAGGGCGAGCGACGCCGGCTCCAGGTGGAGACGCTCACGGCGGAGAAGGAGCAGCTGGAGGGCACGAAAGCCTCCCTCAGCAGTCAGGTCAGTGGGAGGGGTTGAAGGGATCTCAGCAGCCAGACTCGTGGGAAGATTCGGGACGGCCCTCAGTTGGTTCGTGCGGACGCTCTAGGTAGCTATACACTGCAAGAAATCCAGCCTGTTGTATCTAATGTTCCTCGGTGTAAGTTATAAGCGCTAACATATGTGGCGTTTGTTTGTCGTGCGGCAGATTGAAGAGCTGCAGAAGGAAATGGACCAGCTGCAGGTGAACTACCAGGAGCTCCAGAGGTCCCGAGACTCACTGGAGGACGAAAAACATTACCTCACCAGTGAATTGGACAAACTCAAGGCAGCACTCAACGAATGGTAAGCCGTTCACGCAGTATGCGCCGCTCATTGCGAGATATGCAGTGCAATAGGATATGCATGTTGTCAGAACTCATAAGAAATTACCGTCTACGTTTTGTATACGGTTTTTTGTTCGTGTCAAATGTTCGTAATTATATAACAAAGTCCGAGAGAAAAAAATCATGCTCATAACTGGTTTTTATTAACTTTTACAGTAAAGCCCTGCTTGACGACAAAGACACCAAGGCGGGCACCCTAAAGGAGACGGTCATCTCCCTCAAGGAGTCCATCAACAAGGCCAAACTGGACAACGACGTCCTCATCCGAGAGAAAGGAGACTTGGAAGAGCTGCTGCGCAAATGTGAACTCAAGAAGGGTAAGCCATCGCCCGTCGAACCCTGAACCCTTGCGATTCTAGGTCGGCTGGCTCGGCTGGCTACCCGACTTATCATCCTATCTAAGAAAAAATAATCGATCACAATGTACAAAACTAATTCGGCACATTACGGGCCTGCTCCATAAATTGTGCCCATTGACCATTCACCCAAATTTTCAGGTGAAACCGTAAACGTTCCACACATGTGAAGTGCTGTAAGACCTTCAGTGACATACAGCGGCGTTGAAGGCACTAAACTGTGATAATTCTCTGGTTTAAAATATAAACTCTGAGGTCATCTGTAAACCTCCGGTAACCTTCATAACACCTAGGTAACCCACTGAATCTCGGTGATCGGCAGGTGACTTGGAGACGCAGGTGAACCGACTGCGTGCCGATGAAACCTCCCTCCGCGACGCACTCATGAAGATTCAGAGTCTCAACGACGGCCTCGGCGCCGACAAGAGTGACCTCAGCAAGACACTTCAGCAGGTAGGACATTCGGCTTGGAGACTTGTATGCCATACATAGGTATGTTTTACATCACCAGTAGTGTAGTAAAGAGACAACATCCACCCATACAAATCCAATCTACCGAATCGGTTATCCCTCGCTGTGGCATCGGACCACGCAGATAAAATCATCGCAGTACCATCGAAAAAAGGCCGGTGTGTGAATCAGTTCCCATTTCGTCCACTAGATGGCAGCCGAGCGGGCTGTGCTACAGTCGGAGCGCGCTGAGCTCGAGGGAGAGGTAGCCGCCCTGCGGGAGGAGCTTCTGCGCATGGAGCAGGACAAGATGACCGCCTCCTCGGAGCGGGTCACCCTGCAGGAGACGCTGACGACAACCGAGCAAGAGAGGAGCAAGGTGGGTGCAACAAGACGGTCACGCAACGTGCAACGTGCACGTGCAACATAACAGGTGGCCGTTTATTGGTCGGTTGAATTTTAAATGAGCTCGAAAACTTAATTGTTACAATTAGAATCTGAATCATCGAAATGAAGAATTATTTGAGCCTGGAGAACGTCCAACGTATTCAACACATTTTATTGCGCAAGAGTACATTTTTTACGAAGCAATCTATAAGATTTTGTTCTTCGAAGCTAATGAAATCATGACATATCTTCACGAACACCCCGTTGTATTTTTGAGGACAAGTAGTAAAACTAATAAAAAAACAGTGTAAACAGTAATGCATTAGTCTATGGTGTAACAGACTCCAAAACCAGTATCTGCTCTCACTGACCTGTGTCCCCGACCCCGGGCAGCTGGATGACCGTCTGTCGGAGCTACTGGCCGACCAGTCCGAGCTAGAGAGCCGCCTCTCGGCCCTGGAGCGGCAGCGCGCTGGACTCCAGGAGGAGCTGGCCCGCTCCAAGCAGGAGCAGGAGCGCTCGACCACAGAGACGGGCCGCGTCACCCGCCAGAGGGAGGCGTTGGCCCGTACTGCCGGCGAGCTGGAGGTCAGTGACGGCACCGCTAAGGCCGCTGATAAACTCCAGAGAGAGACACATAATCGTAGCGTACCATACAGCTAACAGAATGTATTAATAACATTTCCGAAAGTGCTAATCGACAGGGCAACCTTCACACGGATTGCGAGAAGCTTCTGGTCGGGCGATACGTCATTCCGTATGCCTGACGATATACCTATTTCGAGGGAACTGTTTTTTTCAATGCCATATCCGAAACCAGTATGGAAACCCTCCGACAGTCGACTGGACGTTTGTATTTCAGGCTCGTCTGTCGGCGCTGCAGAAGGAGCACAGCAGCCTGCGGGAGGTGCTCGCAGCCATCCGAGCCGAGAAACAGCACGCCGAGGTGAGATATCGTATATATAGGGACGCCCGACGATTCCCGTTGGCTTTAAGTTCGGAAAAACGCAGTGCAAACTGTCAGATGCTGTAGATACGTAGCCATAATGCGATATAAAGCTGATCAAGGAGGAACAACCTGTCCATAACATCGGAATTTTTAATCCGGCTACATATACGAGTAGAAGAACGGACAAACGATGTGATTTGCGTTTTAATAGCGCCTTTGTTTTAAACTCGCGCCTTCCGCCTCTAATTCCAACGTGCTCATTTGACTATAGTTATCCAAATCACACCCAGTGTCGCAGCTGTGTGACCCCGGCTCCGTCTATGCGCCTCCAGATGCAGCTGTACGAGACCAGGTGCGCGCTGGAGGCCGCCGAGGCCGCGCGCCAGCAGCTGGAGGACGACAACAAGCAGCTGACGGTCCGCCGAGAGGACGTCCAGCATCGACTGGACACCTGCCGCCGCGACATGGAGCATCAAGTTGGTCAGTCTTTACAGTCAGTCTTTACAGCCAGCTCCCTGAGTTTTATAGTGCTAATCGGGATTGCCGATTAGAGAATAACTTTCTGCTGTGTCATATTGGAATATGTTTCTCACCTGAAAGAACCAGTCATAACCGGTAATTTTACCGTTCAAGATGCTATTTCCGTTCATTAACCTTGCTCATCGGAGCTTCATAGACTGTAAGGCACGCGCGGATGCGAAGGAATAATATTTGCTTTTGCATGGCTTCCGTCATGACGTTTTCCTTATTACGAACGAAAAGTATTTGTCCTTAGGTGGTAGCAAACTGCTACACTATACTAGATTTTGCTGCAATTCGTATGTAATTTGTTATAAAGGAAAGCACAGACGTCATTCCCAAGCATGATATCGCTTGCTGCTCGCCCTACTTTTGCGTTTATTTCTCATAGATACCTCAGTAACTTTACCGTGTATTCAGTCCAAGGTGATCCGAGTTGAAGCGGCTATCAAACTTCCTTTCAATTATCGCCGTTTGCTGTGCTGTCACCTTCCTGCACATTTGAACCTCACCATCTGAAAATCCGGCTCCTCCCGCCTGCCTGCGATGAGCGGCCGTCTGAGTGCCGAGCACCGTGAGCGTCTGTCAGCCCTGGTCAGAGCTCTAAAGGCCTTCAACGGCGTGTCTCTGTGCATCCCTCTCCAGGCGCGGCCGGTGACCACCGTCTGCGCCTGCTCCTGTCACCGCCGCGGCCACAATCCCCGTCCGCCAACCGGCGCTGAAGGAAACTCGTTCTCATCCGAGTCGCCATCGTATACACCATCTCCATTTTCGTCAGAACCCTCGCCATTTCTCTCGACCCATTCGCCGCCCTTTTCATCAGATTCTTCAAGCGTTTCTTCACAAGACGCACCTCTTCCTTCGTCTTTTCTCTCGCTTCACCCCTGCTCCTATCAAACCTCCGATCATTCACTCTCACGTTCTTCCAGTGCTTTCACGTCCTATCTCGATCCTCCGGACCCAAGTTTGTCCTTCAACCCTCCGCTCTGTTCCACCATCCACCCGTGGTTGTATGCCAGCACCGCGCCGCGCTCCGTCTCAGTTTCGCCGCAATTGTCGACAGAGAGCCTGCGCGGCAGCTGCGCAGAGTTCCAGCGCCGCGCTGATGAGGCTCGCGCCGAACAAGTGCGCGTAGTCACGGAGTTGAAACAGGTTCATGAGGAGGAGGTCAGCCGGCTGCAGAAGGAACGGGTGAGTGAAACTTGAGGTGGTTGGAATCGGTTGGGAGAGCTAATCGGTCGGGACTTGGAAATAGCGTGCATTCGACTGTCGTTTGAAATAAACCGAGTTGAAACCAAAGTGCAGCATTTTACGAAGTAACTGGACGGGCAGGGTACTAACGTTTACGCAAATCTATTACAAACATAGCACAACATTTTACGTTGGTGAATTGGGCTGTGTGATCTGCCCGTGAACCATTCAATCCACCGTGCCCCGTTTGGTCTGTCGTTCCACTAGGAGGAGACGGTACAGCAGCTGGAGACGCGCCTGCAGAAGTCGGTGCAGGCGCTAACCGTGGAGCAGGATGACCTGCTGTCGCAGAAGGAGCAGCAGATTCAGACTCTGTACCGGGAGCTGGACAAGTCGGCCCGCGACTCGGAGAGCCAGCTGCTGGCCGCGGAGGTTACCAAACAGCAGGCGCTCACGCTCGGTAAGGCTCGTGGATAGCCGATGCAGACACTGACCGTCTGATCATTCATTCTAAGGTGTACATAATACAGTGTACCATATCACTGACTGGTTTTGTTTACTGAAAAGTACAGTCGACGGTTCGTCCGCAGCCAGTTATGCACGTTTATATTCCTCGTACCAAGCTGGGCTTTAATACACCATTACCGTTCTTCGTGGGGTAGCTGCGATCTACTGTCGTTTCTGAATCCTCCGACCTAGCGCAGATCGCTCATTCATAGTCATTGTATAAGCTACTTTTGGTGACCGATACCTTCGCTCCTACTGTCGGCTGTATGCTGACCCGCCTTCCCCTCCGACTGGTACAGCCCAACAGGAACACGCAGCCGTCAAGGACCGGCACCAGCAGCTGCAGCAGGAGCTGGAGCAGGCGCGAGCTGAGCTGGAGCGCGTCAGAGCCGAGGCTGCCTCCCAGGCCGAGCTGGCGCGCACGGCCGCCGGAGCACTGCACACTGAGGTGGCCAAACTCAAACAGCAGCTCGAGAATAAGACGTGAGTCGGACGCGGGCGCTGAACCAATCCATAACCACTAGAACAATCTGTTCAGTGAGTACGCTGCAAACGCTATGGGTTTGATACTTTTATTTAAAAAGAAAAATAGTAAGCATTCTATCGAATGTAAAGGATGTCGAAATTGTGTCACTGTTTTATATAAAACTCATATACTCGTACGTCCAAAGATGAGACCGCACGTTGCTCGGCGGCCTCCTCGACGGTCTGCTTACACCGCTCTCCAAAGATGACGCTAGCGTATATGCCTGAAGTTGTAGACTGTCCCGCAATACACGCATTCAGCTACCGAGACGGCCGGCTTGTGTTGTCGTTCTCACTCAATAGATGGCGTTGCTAGTATATGCCTGGGGTGGTAGGCTGTCCCGCAGTACACACATTTAGCTGCCGAGACAGACGACTTGCGTTGTCGTTCTCACTCAATAGATGACGTTACTAGTAGGCGCCTTGGGTGGTAGGCTGTCCCGCATTGCACGCATTTGACTGCCGAAATGGCCGGGGTGTGTTATCGTTCTTACTCAATAGATGGTGCTACTAGAAGACGCCTGGAGTTGTAGGCTGTCCCGCATGACAGCACGTGGATTCTATCGGGACTTTGTTCCTTGGTGGAGACGACATGCAGATCAGCATCGTCTATGCTTTGAGCCATTATTATGTAGATCATATGTACTCTGGAATCAGCAATGCATTTTATATGTGTATAGTGTATAAGAGTGGATTGTAGAGTGCAACATTTGCAACAAGCCCGTAGCAGAAACACTTATTATTAAAGCTGCGTATTTACCGACGACGGACGATTTTCAACCACTTCACACTTGTCATCAACTGTGCATCAACCAATCTGTTTGCAGGGCCGTTCACGAGAGGGAGGTCACCTCACTCTCCACTCAGATCCAGGAAGCGCAGAAGCTGCGCGACCAGGCAGAAGCGGCACTGGCGCAGCTCAAGGTCAAGCTCAAGGTCACCGAGGAGCACCGCGACCGGCTCCAGCGAGAGCTGACAGAGGCGACTCGCGCTCTCAAGGATGGTAAGTGTCGGCGTTTGGCGCAATGTGGAGGGCTTGGGGAGGCAAGGTGGAAGTGACTGAGGTCGAGTTTCGGCGTGATCTCACTCGAAATCATCCGTGGTTGAATTTAATCAATGTGTAAGCTTGACAATTGTTTGCATTTGTAAATATTGTGACATAAGTTCGCATCCACACACCACTAAGTAACAATTCAACATATTCCATCTAGCTCGCAACAGCATAGCTAAGGCACAAATATCTACATTTCCGCTGAAAGTCGTCCTCTTTCTGCCCAAACACAAACACTGCGTATACTACCTACCGTGACGTCTGTCTCCGTCGCCCCGCCAGCGGAGGCGCGGGCTGAGAGCACCGGCCGGTCGCTGGCCGACACGAAACGAGAGCTCCAGGAGGCCGAGCACGAGCGAGCCACGCTCGAGGAGAGCAACGGGGAGCTGCGAGACAAGGTTAAACGGCTCGAGGGAGAGAAGGGCGAGGCCAGACGCGCCCTCGAGGAGGCAGGACACAAGATCAATGGTGAGGCACTTGAGTGCTGGGGACTAGTAGACTGGGGAAAGATAATTGTTGCATTGGATCTCTTATCTTGGTGACACGTTGTACTTGTTTTGATTACAGTGCAAGGCTAATTCGAGATGATAATGCCTCCTACATGCATTTTATTTCTTGTGCAATGTAACCCGCTATCATTTAAATACATAACCATGCATTGAACGTTAGCATGGGTCAGAATGTTTTTTTTTTTGTTCGATTTTGCTCGCTCTTTATGGCGCCTGACACTAGGTCATGCCTCCCACACAGCGCTAGAGTCGGCCCAGGAGTCGGCTGCCAAGGAGTGCCAGGACCTGCGCGCACAGCTGCGCGAGCTGGAGCGCAGTCGTCTGGACTCGAGCCGCGAAGCTGCCGAGCTGCGCCGCCAGCTGGAGCAGCTGCAGCTGCAGATGCGCGAGCGGCTGTCGCAGCTGTCCGACCTGCAGCAGCGGCTCAGCCGAGAACAGGAGGCCGGCGATAACTGCAAACGTGACCTGGTCACCGTTCGACAGCAGGTCAGAGCGAGATTTAATAGGATTGCAGAAGAATATGATCAGGTTTGCTGGACTGGACCCTCGATTAGGAGTGAGAACTGCAGTGGGTATAACAGCATTGCGGTGTATAACCCGAAAACTGAAACAGAGCAATATGTGTCGTGGATATGTAATAAATATTATTTTGGTTTGAAAGGGAGAATCATTTCGCTTTTTTAGGCGTCTGTCAAAACTCATAATTATCGCCACTTGGTTTTTTATTTGGTCTGCTCGCCTTTTTCAGCACCATTCCGTTCACCGTTCTTGTATCATTTCTTTTGCTGTGGTTTCTGTTCCCCCGGATCCTACGATGTCATTTCCACGATCCCGTGTCGCTGCAGACTCTGGAGCTGGAGACTGCGCGCGACTCACTGCAGAAGGCTCTGGCGGACGCCGAGCGTCGTCTTACTGAGGCACAAGAGAAGTCGCGCTGGCGAGAGCGAGACCTCGCCACCGCTCTGGACGAGAGCAAAAACACCAACAAGGCGCTAGAAGAGGAAAAGAAGAACCTTGAGATCCGACTGGGCGCCACCACACAGGACGCCAACGATCTTAGAGTGAGTAGAATCGCAGCCACATTTTACAGCATTGCGATTTTTTCCCGGCGCTGTGAGCATTCTTATAGAGCTAACATAAGTGTCACTGAAGTTAATACGATATGTGAAGCCTAACCCCCACCGTTGCTCCTCACTCAGCTGAAGCTGGTTTCCTCCGAGGGCCGTGTGGAGGCGTTGGAGGCGCAGCTGGGTCGTCTGGACGCCGGCAGACGTCAGGTGGAGCGCCGCCTGGCCGACACCTACACCACACTGCGGCGCGTCACTGGACTGCGGCTGGACGGCGCCGGCGGAGTCGGAGAGGCTCCCTGGAGGCCGTCCACGGCCGCCTCCAGTCCCACCGGCCGCCGCACGCCAGGCAAAGGTTAGACGCGTCACTGGCTCGGCACATCGGCATTCGTGCTTATGTATGCCTGATGCATCAACTGGCACTGCTGTTGAATGCTGTCCATCTGCACTTTCGTACGTGATTCACGCTCATTGGTTTCGTCAGTTAGATTGAATTGCATATCAGATTATTCGATTGTTGTCATGCATGCCAATAAGACAAAATTGCACTTATTTTTTTTTTTGTTTTTAGCAGATAATTTTCTTTTGCTAATCACGTTCCATATGCAACTGCACCCTACAAAAAGCAGCCGACAGCGATGAGGTGTCTGAGTGCACTCTGCACTTAGACATCGACTCAGACTGTGAGTCGGACGATGTCTTGAGACAACTGGAGAAGGTGGCTGCCGCGTTAGAGAAGGGCGCCGGCTCTGTTTATGCTACACCGACTGATTCACGTGAGTTCTACGCATGTTTGAGCGCACATTTGATGTTCATGACTTGTCAGTGCCCTGTTATTGCATCGATGATATATAAAAGCTGTCTGCGCCACTTCTCGAATAGTTAAAGTAACTAAGTCTTATACGACGTTCTTTATCCGACGATGTTCAACTCAAACCGTATCCCGGCCTCTTCCTTCCCACCACGCTGTGTAGTTTGTCTCTCACGTCGACCTCGCCCCCTACCCAGGTGTGGAGTTCGAACCTCTGCTGACGGCCGAGCGGGCCACCTCTCTGGACCGCGGACTGGACGAGGCGGCCGCCGACGCCGCCGACTCGGCCGCCGCCGGAACCGTACCGCTGGGACCCGGTGGACGCGCAGCCCGCGCCGTGGACGTGGATCCGGAGTTTGTGCGCATGGGACTGCGCGATCTGATGCAGCAGGTGGCGCGCGTCGAAAGACAGAGGGTGAGTGGGATGAGCAGAGGTGAGGGGACCGATGCGACGCTGACAGACAGCGGCATTGAGGAGAGAATTGTGCAGACAGGTATGATCTGAAGTAAAGTACATGCCTGTTTATCGGGATTTCCGGATGACTGAAAAGCCATTTGCGTTCATAAATACGCAATTTAAAAGTTGGTATGCTTAGAGAGGTTCCTCTTGAGATGACGTAGGTAGCCTTGCCTCTCGTATACCGTTGGTCTTAGTGCTCACCGCTGACCACTACTGCTCTCCCCAGGACGACGCACTGTCGCAGTGTCAGTCGGTGGAGCGGGAGCTGGGCGAGGCCCGTAGTGCGCTCACCGATCACCAGACCCAGTTGGAGCGGTGTCAGCAGGAGCTGGCCGCCGGCCGCACCGAGCGACAGTACCTGGAGACGCGCATCAGCTCCTCGCAGTCCGACTGCACCAGCTACGTGAGTCGCCAACGCAGTCTGCCGCTGCCGTGGAGAGACGCAATCCGTGTTTGGTGTTCCCTGGTGCTTTCTTGTAGCCAAATAAACGTCCGCTAATCATGAGTGAACTTGCAGTAGTTACATAGTGAAACGGATTATCCTGCTTCGCCTAGACCACTTGTTTATGGAGATGAACACCCCTTGCTATTTGTGTTTGACAGGAGGAAACGATTAAAAAGCAGACGACTGAGCTCCGAGTGATACAGGAGCGTATCGTGAAGCTCGAGACAAGCAACACGAAACTACAGATGGAGAAAGACGTACTGGAGGTGAGACAGCCCCGTCAGCTTTTTTGTTTTCATTTTGTTATGATTATTTTTTTCAAACTCTGCCTGAGCTGTTAGACAGCGGAGTGTGAACACGAAAGCACGGCACATAGCGACATGGTCCTTGCGGCACAGCATCCTATCAGGTGTATACAGTAGTGACATCTCGCGGCCGGTGGAGCAACTACACCCGGTGGTCATTGGGGCACAGTATGTCATCAGGCGTATTGAGTAGTGACATCTAGCGAAGGAAACAGCAACACAATTAGGTGGTCATTGCGGCACAGTATGCCTGCAGGCGTAAACAGTAGTGACATCTAGCGGCAGGTGGGATAACTACACCCGGTGGTCGTTGCGGCACAGTATGTCATCAGGCGTAAATAGTAGTGCCATCTCGCGGCCGGTGGAGAAACTACGCCCGGTAGTCATTGCGGCACAGTATGCCAGTAGGCGCAAACAGTAGTGACATCTCGCGGCCGGTAAAACAACTTCACCCGGTGGTCATTGCGGCACAGCATGCCAACAGGCGCTAACAGTAGTGTTATCTAGCGGCCGGTAAAGCAACTACGCCCGGTGGTCATTGCGGCACAGTATGTCATCAGGCGTAAATAGTAGTGCCATCTCGCGGCCGGTAAAGCAACTACGCCCGGTGGTCATTGCGGCACAGTATGTCATCAGGCGTAAATAGTAGTGCCATCTCGCGGCCGGTGGAGAACTACGCCTGCTAGTCATTGCGGCACAGTATGCCAACAGGCGTAAACAGCAGTGACGGAGGAACGGCAACGGTAGCAGAACCTCCTCTGCGAATGGAGTGCGGTGGCCCCGTAACTCTGCTCTTAGCGTGATCCGGTTTATGCTCATAGTTTCTTATGATCGTTCTAGGTGAGATGTGATCGTGGGATGTGTTACGTTGTCAAATATTTCAATACCCACCGTCCCGTCTTTATATAAATACCGTCTTACTCATGAAATAAAGGGTTTTATTTGGCCAACACGAGCATATCAACTGGGTTCAAGTGCGGGAGTGCGCCTGACAATATCTTTGAGTGTTTGACGACGTCGCTCGTACTCCCGTCATTTACTATCTCCAGGACAAGCTGGGAGCTCTGCGCCGGCACGAGTCTCAGCAGCAAGAGGAGCGTCGTTCTCTGCGACACAGCCTGGAGCAGCAGGAGGCACGCGGCGCGCAGCTGGAGACCACCCGGCGCGGGCTGCAGGGCGACCTGCAGCGCTCTCAGAAACTGGTCCAGGAGCGAGACGCCGAGATCAAGGTGGGCACAGCGGGGAGGGCAGGGCAGCTGGGCGTATACGGAGCTCAGGCTCACCAAGCTCTGGATCACTGACGGCTGAGTTTTTTCGTATTATTTTCTGGACTTTGTAATCCATGACTGGATTTAAACATATCTGGATATGCATGCACGCAGTGGGGAGTACCAAATGAAAGGCGACAAATCGCCTTTTATCACGCATGTACAGTGGATCTAGTTAGGATCTCCAGACGTAACTAGATGGCGTTGAGCCTTAGTCGAGTCCATGTCAAATTCAAGGGGAGGTCAGTACCGAGCTGGGCCCGGTGGGGAGGTGGGGAGGGGCGAGGTCACGGTGCGGGTGACCTGTCAAACAGCCCCGGCGCAGCTAGGCGCTGCCGTAGGCAAAGGACGCATTCCAGCCGGCTCGCTGTTCCATATCGCGGTGGCGGGCCTGGCGGCCCGTAGCCTGGCTGCTTGGAAGGAAAGGATAAAGGCATGGGTTTGCCGTGGTCGTTTCATCTATTGTCACTTATATGACGCACTCAAAGTACTGCATATGTGATGTTGGTAATGCATGATGCTATGGTAGGTATTATTGTTGGTAATTATTGCGATGTTGGTAATGCAGCTGGCAGTGGAATACTAGCGAATGCTCCGTGCGCCGAATAGCTCAAAGGATTAAGATTCTAAATATAGCCTGAAATTTTCATTGAAGATAATTCCAGCACCATAAAATATCCTTCACCAGTTTTGGACTGGCTGATGTTTCTTGCGTAGAACGCCTTTTGACAAATAATTGTCATGGCCGGCGATTTTTTTTTTGCATGACGGGTCACATCGGACTAAGGTCAAATTTAGTCGCTAAAAGGAAATGAGAAAAAGTGGACGAGTATCGCATTTTTGTGCACAAGGTTTCGAATTAAAAAACTAAGCCAAAATAAGTTAAACAATAAAAAAATATAAGAATATGTGACCCGAAACTAACTTCTGTTTTGTATGATCATGATTGGGTGTAAGACCCCGGTCCAGCCTGGTTCAACCCGGTCTAACGGGTGCTGGAAATGAGGCCGCTTTCTGGTCCCGGCGTTTTATTCTCCGGGCGGGTTAATCCCGTCCAGCGTTTAGCCTTTCGAGACCCACTCAGGGTCGCGGTTGTTTTCGCCGCGCGCCCCAGTCGAGATGCAAAGTTAATAGTCACACGAAGCTTATTTAGGGCCAGCCAAACCAGCCTAGTCTGGAGTCACTGTTAAATGTATGCATATAGATGAAAGAAAAAGGTTTTGTAGAATCGATTAGTTTCGAAGTCGTATATTCAGGGGCCTCAAATGAAGTTCGTGTGACTATCAACTTTGCATCACGAATGGGCCGAGCGGCGGAAACAACCGCGGCTGCTCTGAGAGGGTCCCGAAAGGATAAGCGCTAAACGGGGCTAACCCACCCGGAGAATGAAACGCCGGGACCAGAAAGCGGCCTCATTTTCAGCAGGTTCGGCTCCCTCATTTACCTTCGGGCTTGGCCTCGTGACATTTACAGACGTCAGACATTCAACAAACAATTTTGGCGGAAACACTATCCAGCAAGCTGCGCAGGGGCGCAGGGTGACAGGTGTTCGTAGCGTTGGGGCTGGGTGATCTGTGTGCCGAGTGCGATGTCGTGGGTTCGAGCCCCACACGGCTCTGGTTTTATCTAGACACTAGCCAAAACCTTTCCTTTTACTGCAATACTGACAAGCACGGTGATTTATCTTTCCCGATATCCTCTTAACAAAGTCAAAATTGTCGCACCTATATATTTATTTTAATGTTTTGCTGAGTTTCATGAATTTTCATTTTTTATTTTTGCTCGTTTCTCTGGACCCATTTCAACTCGTGATTCTTTTCGATCCGATAAAAACCCATCAAGGCTGAACGTGCCAAAATAATGAAAGGAATTATGCAACTGAATATAAATTTAGAAAAGCCTTACACATCATGCAAGCTGATCTACTGAAAGTATAGGTCCTAGATTTCAATTATGATTGGTTAACATTTTTGCTGCAAGTTTGAGGCGTTGCCTTTCGCTTGCCCGTTTGTTTGAGATAGCTATTCCCTTCAGTCGCATTCTTGCTGGCTTCACATGAACAGGGTGTTGTTTCACCGGCGATCGCAGGACGCTGCTATTACTACGTGTCAAATTGGGTTTCCATGGCGACGTCAACAAGCCCATTGCTCCAACACTACCACAAGTGTGACGTCAGCAGATATCACCGGTGAAACACCACCCGAGATACCACCATACCTGAGGGAGCGCACCCGCAGCCAGCATCCCCTCCCCTCAGCCGCGGCGCAGTGGCGGGCGGCCCATTCCCGGCGCTACGCACGCTCCACGCCGCGATAGCAGCGCGTCACCCCCCCCCTCCCTCCTTCCCCCACAATGACCGGTGACCTCGCTCCCCTCGGGATTTGGACTCGCCCTACCCCGACCGTAGCGCCACGTGGTGGCTCTGGAGATCTTAAATAGACCCACTGTACATACTTGCATAAAAGGCAATTTGTTTTGTCAGGCGCTGCACCACCTTTCATGACACTTAACCCAATCGTAATCGTCGTGTTACAGTTGCTGAAGTCGCGGCTGGAGGACTGCCAGAAGTCACTCTCCACATCCGAACAGAGCTGCTCCAAGCTGAAGCTGACCATCGAGCGTCTGCAGCAGCAGCTGAGTGCCGCCGACTCTGCACAGGGCGAACTCAAGGACCAGGCAGAGCAGCTCAGTCGACAGCTCACAGAGGCCAACGATAAACTCACTCAAGTACAGGACAAATTGCAGAAGGTGAGACGACTGATTGGCTGAGACTGACGAGCCTGCTGACAGAGGAGGGTTATGGGGAGCGTTAATCAGCGTTCCCTGGAAGCATTTGCGCACGATTATGGACACATCATTTATGAATGAAGACTAGTGAGACGATAATCACCCACCATTGGTGGCTGACGATCCGGTTGTTTCCCTCGAGGCAGGCCCAGCGGCAGCACCAGACGGTCCAGCAGGAGCGTACCGTGCTAGAGGAGCGGCTGACAGCCGCGCAGCAGAGCACATCCGAGCTGAAACGGCACAACGGAGAGCTGGTGGAGCGCAACAGCGCTGCGCAGCGCGAGCTGACACAGGAACGGCTGCTGCGCTCCCAGGTCGAGCTGCAGCTGAAAAACAGCCAGCAGGTGAGGCAGTCAGCGTTTGCGAGTGCATTTAAAATGATAAGCTAGCTTATTGCCTATAGTCTATACTATTATCCCGCGCACCGACGGGGGGGCGGATATCCGCCCCCCCCCTGAGGTTTTTCGCGGATAGCGGGAAAACCGCGGCGCGTAGCGCCGCGAAATTTGGTATGACTATTCTCTCATCAATTTTACACATGGTGTGCAAGTTTGAACCTCCTAACTTTTAAGGTCAGGTCACCAGGTCACTTTGAATGACCCAACCTCAAGTCACTTTTTTGCAACTTTGTCACCGTGCCAGAGCTACAGTAGATGTCGGAGGCCTTTGAAAGTCGCAGGATGTTATTAGGTCATTAGTAGCTACAATTTGTATATCTCGGAATTTTGATGTCGGTGACCTAAGGTCAGGTCAATTTCGCGACTTCCCCATTATAAGTCAATGGGGGAAAAATCAACTCCCTGTTTTTACCACTAAAACGGGTCGGAATGGCCCCATATACCATACATGACTTCACATACGATCAACCTTCACTACCTTGAGGTCTGTTTTGCTGTTGGGCAGCTGTAAGGTCATGTGACGTCATCAAAGGTCACCAAAGGTTTTTTGCCAATAACTCATTACAGGAACAAGATACAGCCGCGCGGATGGTCTCATTGTGTTCAGCTCGTCAAGACGCATCGAATGATATACATGATGACCTCGAGGTCACGTGACCTGAGGTCAACCTTTGACCTTGACCTTTCGAGGTCAACATATATATCATTCGATGCGGATTGACGAGAGGATCACGATGATGCCCTTAGTTTGTTCCTATCTTGACTACTTCGAAAGTTATTTGAGAAAAACCCTCTCCATATCTAGCGCCGCCATTTTGACTTTTTCGACCCCTGTGACGTCATCTTTGACCTGACCTGAAAATGACCTTAGTAAAAATTGTAGACCTTGTCCGTGCGTATCCGATGCCGTTTGCCGCTTGTCGCTATCTTGCTTCGTTCTCGAGATCTGAGGGGGGGGGGCGGTCATCCGCCCCCCCCCCCCGTCGGTACTAAGTTGGCGCAGACCCCCGTCGGTGCGCGGGTTATTCTTCGAGTAAAATTGGTCAGCAGTAGGAATAAGATTTCGACATATGTACTCAGTACTCATGTAATCGCCATTTGATTCCCCGCATGCGCTATTTCAGTCGCTGCAGCAGAAGTCTAACAGGGAGCAGGAGCTTCAGGACAAACTCCGTAAACTGGAAATGGAGAAGAACGACCTCAGCAACAAGCTGACAGCACTCCAGGTTTGTGCGAATGATTGCTGCTTGATGAATCTATCATTCAGCATGATGTAATTGCTTTTTTTTCAAACACCGTACTTTAGGCGCTGTCAGTGAAGCAGCTCGTTACTATAGGTATATTGTGTTCGCCCCTCAGCGCAAGATGTCTCAGCTGGAGATTGAAAAGCGCGACCTCGACCGGAACCAAGTGCAGCTGGAGAAGGACCGCGCCGCCCTAATGAAAACACTGGACAAGGTGAGGAGCCTTTTGTTTTATCCGATCTGCAGTTGCATGTATAGTTCAATCTTGTGACGTGAATCGCGTAGAATTAACTGTCTTTCAAGATACTGACGACGCATTCATTTTAACATTTGAGTCATGCTTCGTAATCGGCACACTGATATCCGTTAATCTGTCGAGTAGGTGGAGCGGGAGCGTCTCACCGCTGACGAGACGGCCGCCAAGAGCAGTCTGGAGCGCTCGGCACTGGACCGCACCCTCAGCTCCGCCGAGCAGGAGAACGCCGAGTTACAGCGCCAGGTGCGAACACTGGAGCAGCAGCTGGCCAACCTGGAGCAGCAGCACCAGCAGCGAATCAACACCATCACCGCTACTGGAAAGGCGAGTGCGCTCTTTCACTTTCGCTTGCAAAGATCGTGAAAAGCAAAGTTGTTCATTTCAGTGTATTGCAATTTGCAATTCATCGCTTTTGTTGATTATGTCATCGACGATAATGTTGGATGCCCTTTTCAGGACGCTTCATTCGACTCCGATCAGCTGCGCAGCCGTTACAACCAGCTGGAGAAGAGCTTGGAGTCACGCGAGCGCAGCTACAAACAGCGCATTGCCGGACTCGAACAGCAGGTCAGCCTAAGTGACCGCGTGCTCACAAAAAAAACACACACACACACACACACAAACGCCTCTTTTTCCTTGCGTAATGATGAGAGTATAACTGCCCTCACTTTCTAGTAAACAGGGAAATGCATCGTTTTCAAACCCCCTGAATGAATGATCATATAATGTCGAGTAATCGATGTTCATGATGCATCTACGACCCTTCACTTCATTTTTGTCCTTCGTTCACAGATAAAAACTCTGAAGGAGCAGCTGTCGCAGGAGATCTCGAAGCGTCAGGAGTTTATGTTGCGCAGCTCACGGGCCGGTGACGAGATCCGCCAGATCCGCTCCACGCTGGACGACAGCCTGCGTGAGGTGGCCGCCAACGACGGTCAGTCAACTGACGGTGACGCCATTTCGCTCCTTCCGATATTTTAACACAGGAAATAGTCATCACATTGGCGACGTAATTATGTCCGATCTGTACTGAATTGCCACCTGCTACATATTGATCTGAGTGTGCCAGTGACGCGTAATTACTCGATTTTTTTTTCTTCAAATGAGACGTCATACCGGCGATTCATTCCACCTAACACAATCCTGCGCTGCCTCCTGCAGAGCTGGACGCGCTGGCACTGGACGCCGAGTCCCGCCGCCTGGACGCGTTGGTGGAGCGTCACCGTGCGTCCAGTCTGCACACGCCGAGCCGTGTGGGACGCAGCTACCGCACCCCGGCCAAGTCACCGGTCCGCTCTCGTACCGTCAGCCCCAGGTGAGCCGACACGGGGTGACGTGAGGGACGGTGCTGCAGTGCGTCACACATTGAATGGTGCAGAGTCCACTGTGACCACTGCAGGATGGCTGGGCTGCAAGGGAATCTGTGGATGTGATTGTATGTAGAGAAAGGCCGTGCTCTCATCCGAAGATCCCGTCAGTCATTGTAGGTATTTTAGGGAATGCGGCACACATTTATCGGGCGTTATTTTGTTAAGATTTGTAAGGCTGTCGCTTACTCAGCAAGCGACTTTTTGGGAGCCTTTGATGAATACCGAACAAAGGTGTGCGTATTTTCAGTCATAGGTCGTATTTGCGTGCTCCCGCCATATGCCATGTGTAGCCTGACCGCCGAGGCGTTGAAGTGGCTGACGCTGACCCGGCCGTCTGGTCTGTCTGTGGCTCGCGCAGGTTGCCGCTGACTGTGGTTGGTGCCTCGGACAGGTCGCCGCGCTACCGTCTGCCGCCCACGTCACCGGGACGGCGTCTGGCGGCGACCACGGCGCCGCGACGCACCCTCACCTTCCGCTAGACGGACCGGCCGGCCCCGCCAGCGCCGGCCGCCCCGTAGCTACTGCCCAGTGTCCCTCCCGCTCGCCCCAGCCGTCTCCGCTGCCTGCGTCCGGACGATGGCGGCACCAACACTGCCAGCACGGTGTCTACACAGTGCAATAGCGGCGCCTGACGAGCCGGCCACAAAATAGTATTGGAGAATCTCACAAATTGTGTATGAAGAAGTTATGTTCGTGTTTTGCGCATATTGCAGGAACCCGCTGTCACATTCCATGTCGGTGTAGTGAAATGATCTCAAAGTCACGGGTCGCACATGTAGATCGTAGTGCCCGCTCCATCGTCGCCTCTTGTCGTGTGCTAGTTGATAGGCGAATCACTCGAGGCACGGGAATCCGTGTTCATCGTCATTTTGTCAGAATTCCAGGCGCGTCAGCCGCCGCTGCACAGAGAATGACTCCGTCCCTTTTGGTGCCCGGCCATGTGTGGCGATATAATTAGGTACGGTGTTGAGGATGTGATCAGTATTGGCGTAAACGAAGAAATATGAGATAACATTTTGACGATGTGAGGAAAACGTCGCGGGTTTCATAATGACACAAAAGAGATATTTAAAGCGAATGTTTAGAAATGCGTAAAAGGCGTTATATGTACGAGTGTTCAGAATGTTGTATATGAGTGTCTTCTCTCGACCCGACTACTTTTTTCATTGATGAGGTACATAATTGTAATACCGTTTGCGTTACCATATCGACACGATTGTTCGACCATTCTTCGACCCTCGACCGGCGAGTCCGCAGCCGAGTCTGCTGGGCGTCGAGCCGCCTTTGTCCCCACCCCGCCCCCGACTGGTTTGTCCCCTCCCCTCCCCTCCCCTCCCCGTGTGCCGTGTGCGTGTCCCGCCCCTGCCCCGGGCCGGCGCCTGAGTCGCCGCCGTCTGTACTGGGGAGACGGAGCGGCGACCGGCCCGGCCCGCCCGCGCACCCACCCACGCCGCAGGTCTGCACGCGTTCTAATCTCGGTAGAACACCGCTGCAGTCCGCGCGACTCACCGCCTCTCTCCAAGACCCTGAGCCCAGCCCGGCCCGCCCTCAGTTCGCCTCTTCCCGGCCCCTCTCCCGCGACCATCAGTTGTTCGGTGGCGGCCACGGGTCGGCCCGGGTCGGGTTGCTGTATGTTTGGTTACTGTACCGTTCTGTTTGTTGGGCTTGTGAGAAAATTGGCAGCCGATCGATAATTCTCCGCAATACGGTAAATCTACAGCTCAGCGGAGTTGAACGTTTGTCACAGCAGGCGAACTTACAGAGCGATCATTGTTGTTGGTTAGCAACTGACGTGGATGTTCAATGGAAAATTGGTGTCATGGCTTTAATATCACCAAAGATTATGTTGTTTAGTTTATCTCATGGATCATATTATATATGCTTATTTACATGTTATATTGACTCACCGTACGATATGTAAACGTTGCGTTACTCATTGCTATACGAATGGATCGCACGCCTCGCACGCTTTTCGTACTAGTATTTACATTAGAAAGCATATCACGCGTATTCTTGATAGTCAACACAATGTTACTTGAGCACAACACGTAGAAGAATAAACGTGTTTTAAACTCTATCGGACTTTGCCTAAAGTGAGATTCGCCTTTCGGCTTAGATGAGTTACGAATGGAGCATTGTTTGTGTGATTGTTTGGGTGCCTCGACCAAGAGCCAACGAACCGGGCAGGGGCGGATCCAGCCGATCCGTTTGGAGAGGACAACAGTTTCCGACTAATACGGCGACCCCGACCCACCGCCGTACCGGTGAATGAGCGACTTTACAACGCCACACTACACCAGCATGCATTCAGTTCAGGTCGAGGGAGTCCCATCTTTAATCAGCATACCGACAGGGGCGTAGCCAGGATTTCCTCCAGGAGGGGGCCAAACTTCCCAGTAAACATGCCGACGTCGGCCCGACGTCGGCCGACGTCGGGGTGACGTCGGCAACTCGGCATCGGCATGCCGACGTCGGCCCGACGTCGGTCCAACCTCGGCACGACGTCGGCTGGATGTCGGATATGTCCGCATGTTCCGACGTCCAGCCGAGGTCCAGCCGACGTCGGGCCGACGTCGGACCGAGATCAATTGCTGAGGTCTAGCCGACGTCGGGCCGACGTCGGGGCGACGTCGGTCCGACATCGGCCGCTGTTTTGACCGTTAAAATAATACAAAATACATGTTTCATGTTTCATAAAGAGCTTCTGTATTCAAAATATCCTCAGGAAACTCAAATCTTCCTCCACGCCGCAACCCCCTGATCCGGACTGGACGGGAAACTTTATCCCATTTGGGATTGCCCGTAAGCCGAGCTCGCCCGTAGCCGGGTGCGGTGAGCAGACTTGTGATCAGCTCAGTTGAGCCGGCTCAAAAATCAGCTCAGCTCATGAGCCGGCTCAACATTTTGCCAAATTGTTGAGCTGTGAGCTGAGCCGGCTCAGTAATGCATTGAGCTGAGCTGCTGTCTGAGCTGAGCTGAATGAGCTTGAGCTGAGCTGAGCTGAATGAGCTTGAGCTGAGCTGAGCTGAGCTGAGCTGATTGAGCTGAGCTGAGCTGAGCTGAGCTGATTGAGCTGAGCTGAGCTGATTGAACTGAGCTGAGCTGATTGAGCTGAGCTGAGCTGATTGAGCTGAGCTGAGCTGATTGAGCTGAGCTGAGCTGATTGAGCTGAGCTGAGCTGAGCTGAGCGAGCTGAGCTGAGCTGATTGAGCTGAGCTGATTTAGCTGAGCTGAGCTGATCCAGTTCTAGTAGGTACACTGGAAGATGATGAGAACGGATAAAAATATAAAACCGAATGCAATGTGCATTGAATATTGATACACTTTAAACACTAGAAACATGATAAACTGGAAATAATATTATATACAAACCAAAGACGTCACTAGGTGAAAGGCCATGTAGTTCGACACCGCAAACTGAAGCGATCGGTCGGGAAATCGCTACATTCCTCTATTGCACCCCGTTCGCACCGTTGTAAGCCGTTCGGTTGGTATCCTTATCCACTGCGGCGTGATGTCCCGACCTGTGTCCCGATGATTCGATGTCCATGACCAATCAGCACACGCATTGCCGTGACGTCATTGGCCGGACCCCGACACGTTACGGAGATATGGGTGGCATTCGGCATTCGGCAATGGGTGGCATTGAATTTAACTGAGCGGAAACTGAGCTGAGCTGAATTGAGCGGAAACTGAGCTGAGCTGAACGGGAACTAAGTTGAGCTGAGCTTAGCTGAGCGGAAACTGAGCTGAGCTGAACTGAGCTGAGCGGAAACTGAGCTGAGCTGAGCGGAAACTGAGCTGAGCGGAAACTGAACTGAGCTGAGCGGAAACTGAGCTGAGCTGAGCGGAAACTGAGCTGAGCGGAAACTGAGCTGAGCTGAGCTGAGCGGAAACTGAGCTGAGCTGAGCTGAGCGGAAACTGAGCTGAGCTGAGCTGAGCGTGAGCGGAGCGCAGCCGGTTTGAGCGGAACGTGAGCTGAGCTGAGCCGCGTTAAACTGAGCGGGAGCTGAGCGGGAGCGGATAAGACGGAGTTGAGCTGAGCGAGCTCACTTTTTTCTTGAGCTGTCACAAGTCTGGCGGTGAGTGCTTGGGGGCTGCTCGGCCTATACTTTGGTCAGGCTCAGCCCCGGCAACTCACCAGGGCCGGGCCCAGTTCATATAGAAAGGCCAGTCGGCAAGTGTCACTTTGCCAAAGTGCCACTTATCAAAGGAACACTTTGGGCAACGTTGGTGCAGGTCCAGGTGTGTAAGAGTGGCTATATGAATCCATTGTGGGGTCGCCCTTTCCAATAAGTGTCACGTAACAGCAATGGGACCAGGGACTCTATATGAACTGGACCCAGGGTGCTCGCCAAGAAGACCAATGTCTCCATCCTATGACCCTTCCGGCTCTGAAATGGTCTTGTCAGACCGAAGGGGCATAACCCAACAAAACAAACCCAATTCGCTAGCTGGCTGCGTGGTGTAGTGGTTAGCGCACTGTCTAACCATGCGTTCGAATGACACGGGGTTCGAATCCCATCGCCGGCTGATGCTTTTGGCGTGTTGTCCCAGTAAACATGCCGACGTCGGCGACCGGGGGGCTCGAATCCCGCCGCCGGATGATATTTTTGGCGCGTTGTCCCAATAAACATGCCGACGTCGGCCCCATCGGTCCAACGACAAACGATCTCGTCAACCTCGGCAAACGATCTCGGCCCGACGTCGGCTCGACGTCGGCTGGACTTCGGGTGGACGTCGGAACATGCGGGCATATCCGACGTCCAGCCGATGTCGGGCCGAGCCTCGGCCCGACGTCGGGCCGACGTCGTCATGTTTACTGGGTTACAGGGGCCCAAGGTAAACCCCCTCAAAATCCAAAAAGTCATCGGATTTCATCCCGACTATTTTTTGGACGGGGCCCAAATAATGTGCCCCTTACCGTACTTCTGACACCACGATGGGGGCCCTTTTGGGTTCCAGAGGGGGGGGCATGGCCCCTATGCCCCCCCCTTGGCTACGCCCCTGCATACCGATCCATAGCATCATTAGCGAGCGGTCAGCTCCTTTCTTCACAATGACCGTCATGGAAATTGGAAAGTCCTACTTTTCGTCCAGATAGGCATCGACGCCGTATTAGATTTTCTCGTCTTTGGGGGAGACAAAAAGATAGTCTTGCCCATACGAATTAGCTTTGGGGAGGGCAAATGCCCATTTTGCCCTCCCCTGGATCCGCCACTGGAACCGGGTGAGAGGCTGTGGATCACTAAGCAGAAGGCAATGCTTATCCATTGTGCCGCCCTAGCCTGCGTTCAAATTCTCGCATTGGAATTATTTATATACCTACACTGTGGAAATTGCCTTTGGCTCCTATTTTGCAGTAGCATAAGATCTGTAGCAATTTAGCAGCAGAATAAGATATAAAATTGTCTGCTTTTTGGTGAAGTCGACATATATGGCGCATCCTTCAGCAAACAAATAAATATTTGCTAAAGGCTTGCCTTATGGAGCTTATTACGTCAGCAAGGTATTTTACAACTTTTTAAATCGAAAATAAAATATTCATTTTTATTGAACGATTTTGGAGTGTTCAGTTTTTCCTTTTTTCATATAATTGTGACCAAAAGCCAGGCCTATATTTTTTCTTTACCTTTACTGCTCCAACACCAATTTATAGCTAAGTTTAATGACGTCATCAGATAATTAATAGAGCAGCATGCACTTATTACACTGAACTCACTTATTATTATTTTTTATTGCCGAAGTGTGCTTTATGTATTATAGAATTATTGGTGGTGCCTATTTGCCTATTTTGTAACAGGCTGGCACGGTCCGCCGACATCAAAACAACGGTGCGTCAGCTGATTATTGGTCCTCCGATTCAGGAGAAATTATTAATGCGGGAACGCCGGCGCTAAATAAAGGCGGTAGGATTCACGGCTTCGCATGATCGTGTGCAATATTTTTTTATAGTATCAGGCGAGGGGTATTGCTGGAGTTTTGCAAATAAATATTTTGTTCTCAGTTTGGCTATGCGATCGTGAACACTTTATTTTCATAGATACGATATGAAACAGGATAAACAGGCCAACCCAAGGCTTATGTAGGCCAACCTTAGACTTTGTAATTTGAAAGTGGTCCCTTTGTATAGCCTACATTGCATCCTGATTATTTATCTGTTGTCTAGGGGATTATATTCTTCAATCTTTTACTCTATATGCTGTCTAGGGGTATTACTGATGAAAACGCGATCGATATATGTGTGTTTCTGGTTCCTTTCCCTCCTTCGTTCCCAACACCATCCACCATACAGACGTGAACATGAGTTAAAAGTAGATATATTGAAATGAGCCAAAAGATGAGGTCGAAACCAAAATGTCAAAAGGAAGCGATCGAGTCATTAAACGAGACAAGGCCGAAAATCAGTCCTGCACGAATAGCCGTTGCATTAGCACAGGCTGATATCGAAGAAGACGGAAGAGTGTCGAAAGAACAGCCTGCTGCCGCCAAGCCGAGCCAATCGGCTCCCTGGTCAGCGTCATGATGGCGGGCAGGCTGAAACACAAACAGCGCAGTGAGACCGGACAACGGCGGTCAACGGTCACCAAACAAAAAGCCGAAAGAGATAACCGAATGGTTAGCCGAAAGACAAAACAAACAGTTCAACCATATACCGAATAGTTCGGCAAGTTAAACGGACTTCCTAGAAGACATCACGTCACCTTGTCCCCACAGCACAGCTCCAAGAGAGCTGGCTGGGGCAGACCGTCCGGTCTGAGTCATTCTTACGTAGGTACTTACTTGTGCATGTTGAGTGGAGTGTTGCAGAGTGGGTGTTGTCGAACGTGGTGTGGACTGTGTGAGGAGTGTGTCTCGCTGCTCCGTCTCGCGCCCATTTTATTCCTCGCTGGTCACACAAAAACAGGTAAAGCCACTGCAGTCGGTAGTTGCCCTGCAGCGTAGGTGCAGCTCAGCTCTTCTCTGCCGATTTGCAGACAGTCGCTAGCCCGGCCTTGCCGATTCCACTTTTTGTCCGGTGGTACCGGTGCTCGGTCTCCGGCGGCCGTCATCGTATGGTGGCCGGTGGGAGGCAG